CGGCATGTGTTTACACCTCGAGGTCTACAAGATAAGATAGATAAGATAAGCTATTTTTATTCCAATTAAAGGGCCTATGAAGAGCAAAGTAATTTATTACAATGATTTTAATAATTGACACAATAATTTTGATAATCATATATAAATATGAATATAATCATCTACACAATATGTGAGTCTACATATTACTTACTTACTTATGGCTGGGAACAGTATATCTATATATAGTCAATATATATGTTCCTGCTTATGGTTACTCTCTTATCCGGCGTGACGTAGCAGCTCCTTAGATACAGCATCCGGGCATCACTGTAGGTGAAGCTTTTCCATCGATACGCTGATCACCCTGTAACCGAGGGGAACTTGTAATTATAGAACCTGTTAATCATTGGCAATAAACATTTCTTATCAGGTGACAACGGGTGTGAAAAATATAAAATCTAGTATCTTTGTAAAATGTTAATCTGAATTACCGTAACTATTTAAAATTATTAATTAATAATTGTTTAATACAACATTTTTAGATGATGCATACGTATAGTGATATCTATATATATATTGAGAAAATGTGATGATTTTGATGAAATCAAAATTTTATTAAAACGTTAACAATCGCTATATCATGTCAAACCTTAGAAGGTAACATCAAAACCAACTACAAACTGATATGATTGTCAATGAACTATGGAAGTTATACTATTATACTAGCAAACAACCTTATGTCATCACTATATCATCGTCCTAAACATACATGAAATACTTACCACTGGACGTTAAGCAACCAACAATCTATAATGCATCGCTATATCATGTCAAACCTTAGATGGTACCATGGAAACGAATTACAAACTAATATGATTGACAATGAACTATGGAAGTAATACTATTATACAAGCAAACAACCTTATGTCATCACTATATCATAGTCCTAAACATACATGAAATATTTGCAACTGGACGTTAAGCAACCAACAATCGATAATTCATCGCTATGTTAAACCAAAGAATGTAACATGAACTAATTACAATCTAATATGATTGTCGATGAACTATGGAAGTTATACTAGCAAACAACCTTATGTCATCACTATATCATAGTCCTAAACATACATGAAATATTTGCCACTGGACGTTAGGCAACCAACAATCAATAATGCATCACTATGTCAAACCTTAGAAGGTAACATGGAAAATAATTACAAACTAATATGATTGTCAATGAACTATGGAAGTTATACTATTATACTAGCAAACAACCTTATGTCATCACTATATATATCATCGTCCTAAACATACATGAAATATTTGCCACTGGACTTTAAGTAACCACAATCAATAATTCATCGCTGTATCATGTCAAACCTTAAAAGGTAGCATGGAAACTTACTACAAACTAATATGATTGTCAATGAACTATGGAAGTTATACTATTATACTTGCAAAAAAACTTATGTCATCACTATATCATAGCCCTAAACATACTTGAAATATTTGCCACTGGACGTTAAGCAACCAACAATCAATAATTTATCGCTATATCATGTCAAACCTTAGAAGGTAACATGGAAAATAATTACAAATTGATATGATTGTCAATGAACTATGGAAGTTTTACTATAATAGTAGCAAACAACCTTATGTCATCACTATATCATCGTCCTAAACATACATGAAATATTTGCCACTGGACGTTAAACAACCAACAATCAGTAATTCGTCGCTATGTCAAACCTTAGAAGGTAACATGGAAACTAATTACAAATTAAAATGATTGTCAATGAACTATGGAAGTTATACTATTATACTAGCAAACAACCTTATGTCATCACTATATCATCGTCCTAAACATACATGCAATATTTGCCACTGGACGTTAAGCAACCATCAATCGATAATTCATCGCTATGTCAAACCATAGAAGGTAACATGGAAACTTATTGCAAACTAATATGATTGTCAATGAACTATGGAAGTTATACTATTATACTAGCAAACAACCTTATGTCATCACTATATCATCATCCTAAACATACATGACATATTTGCCACTGGACGTTAAGCAATCAACAATCAATAATTCATCGCTATGTCAAACCTTAGAAGGTAAGATGGAAACTAATTACAAATAAATATGATTGTCAATGAACTATGGAAGTTCTACTATTATACTAGCAAACAACCTTATATATGTCATCACCATATCATGGTCCTGAACATACATGAAATATTTGCCACTGGACGTTAAGCAACCAACAATCAATAATGTATCGCTATATCATGTCAAACCTTAGAAGGTAACATGGAAACTAATTACAAATAATATGATTGTCAATGAACTATGGAAGTTATACTATTATACTAGCAAACAACCTTATGTAATCACTATAGTATCGTCCTAAACAAACATGAAATATTTGTCATTGAACGTTAAACAACCAACAATCAATAATTCATTGCTATGTCATGTGAAAACCTTAGAAGGTAACATGGAAACTAATTACAAATTAATTTGATTGTCAATAAACTATGGAAGTTATACTATTATACTAGCAAACAACCTTATGTCATCACTATATCATCGTCCTAAACATACATGAAATATTTACCACTGGACGTTAAGCAACCAACAATCAATAATTCATCGCTAAATCATGTCAAACATTAGAAGGTAACATGCAAACTAATCATTAATTAATATGATTGCCAATGAACTATGGAAGTAGCAACAGATCGTTGGTACTTCAATGGGCGGATTTGCCTCCCTGGAAATATCTGATATTGCTATATTTGACCATATAAACAATAATATAGAGCAATATCTTACAAAAATAATATTAAATTCCACAAAAGAATGAGAAATGATGGATTTAATATATTTAATGTTAACGGTGAACAAATTAAACAACTATTTGAAATAGCACATTGTTTTAAATCCTTTAGAAGGTACGAGAATTCTTAGAAACAATAGCAACATGTACAATATTTCAATTCGTTGACATACTGTCTACAGAGAAAATTATCTAGACGGTTAAACACTAAAAAAATAACCAGTCAAATAATGCACAAAATTTGTCACGAATGCAGACAGTTCTAACTTCGAAAGAAACCAAATAATAAGAAAATAATTGGCAGAAATATGTTGAATATCTTATAAAGGTGAGATCACTTGAAATTTTGGTATATAATTCGGAAAGATCCGATTGCCAAAAAAAAAATATTCAAATGTAAACCAGACATGGGTTTCAAAATCAATAAGAATATTAGCGACATGATAATTAATCATTAAGTCATAGACATCCATTCACAATACCCCACCACGGGAGGCTTTAGTATACACTCATTATACTGGGAAACAGATGTAAAAAGACGTGATGCCGATTTATTTCAATAGATCACTTACTAGGGATAACAGAAGGGTTTCTTATATATTCATGCATAGACCCGGCATGGTACCTACACAAACCTCTTCAATTGTTAAACATGGAGATTTTTGTATATTATCAAATAGGTGCTAAAATATACACGACAGTTTACTCTGAATTCAACAATATAGCACTGATAACTACTATCTATAGTAGATCCCGTGTAGATTTCTGATAGATTAGATTACGGAAATAAAGACAATAAGTCTTTTCATTATATATAAATTATGAATAATTAAACAAAGGTGCTGATCTACTTGGTCAGTTTCTTTAGTCTGTAAAAAGACTAGCTACAACGTAGACCTATATGCACGTGTAGTAAATTAGAGAAAAAAACTGTTATGAAACAGACACACATCTATCTACTATGTTGGATACGGATTAAACATATAAAGGTCGGCCTCTGATGAGGGTTTACCTGGGAATATTCCCGAAAGAACCCGAAACATTGCATATTAAATTCTAAAGAATTAAGCAATTATTATTAAAAGTACGTAGTGTCAGTTCAGAAATATTGATGCCATACCATGAATAAGTGGGTTTATGGTCATTTTATAAAATAAGTTGATTTCCAGTACAGGATCCCTTAAGGTTCCTCTTCACCAGTCTCGTAATTTAAGTTTTTTTCTAGTACTATTTTGTCCCTGACTTCCGGATATTTCTGTTCTATAGTCATTATAATATAGCTCTTCGTCGGACCAATATTTATCTAGTCTGTTTTTAAAGGCATTAATGGGCGGGGCCTTTGTTATTTTATCTGGTAGTTTGTTCCAGGTTTTAGCAATTCTAACAGAGAATGAGTGTTTACGGATATTAGATTGGAATCTTTGGTTAATGACTTTGTTACTGTTTGTCATGCTACTATATCTTTGTTGAGAATCATCTGGCATTTTTAAAAATGAGCTTACTTCTTTGTCATAGTAGCCATTGATTGTTTTGAAGGTTTCAATCATATCCCCTCTTATTCTCCTAATATAATAAGATGTGTTGGTAAGCCTAGTTTTTTTAAGTCTCTCTGGGTAACTCATGTCTTTGGGACCTGGTAGTTGTTTTGTTACCCTTCTTTGGACTCCTTCTATTTTATCAATATCTTTTTTCTTGTATGGAGACCAAACTGAACTAGCATAGTCCACTGATATGTTAAGCTCTAAGTTAAATTGTCCCATATGTATCATCTATATATCTAGAGAGAGTCATTTAATGACGTGGCCATTATAAACACATATTTGTAGTCTCAGTTATTCTCAAATATCCGTTGAGGTTTAAAATATAAATAAAAGATTAATTCACACAATTGTCAGATTTTAAAAAAAATTATGTACACCCGCTTACAAAACTTTTTACTTTTTTGGCGACGTTAACAATTTTCATTGGTTGAACATTTATGTTACTCCGCACATTTTGGAAACAGATTAATTTTCCTCTTATCATCAATCATCTACGGCAAAATTTTCGATGCTAAGAAATAGGATAATGTACTTAATTCTTAGATTTGATTGCGTTAATTGTGGTAAAAATTAAGATAAAACTATATTTTGATGCGAATCAAATTCACAACCGGAATTTGTTGCTCGACACTTCCTGTTGATGTTGGTGTTTTGAGTTTAGCAGACTGCTTTATTGAAAGTGATGGCATATGATGAAAAATTGTCTTTTTGTCTGCACGCTCTGCCTTTCCTTGGGTTTTGTCTTAAATTTCTTTAAACTTGATGAAAATTTTGATTTTAATGAGAAGAAATATGGTTATTTCAACGAGTCGGAGAGAATCGAACTTTTACAAGCAGCTAAAAATATGTTTTATTTTGGTTATGACAACTACATGAAGTATGCTTATCCTGAAGATGAGTTGGACCCAATAGACTGTGAAGGGCACGGACATGACCATGACAATCCGTAAGAAGCTTTCTAACGTAATGTAAAACATCACGAACACAGCAAATCATTTGGGTTTACAATTCTGGTCAAACTAATGAAGATTTCATGGCAAAATTGGGTCTTAAAGTTCTGTCGACAATTTTGTCTCAAAGTCCAGACAAAAAAAATGGCTTCAGCATTATCAGGTTGGGCTCAAGTCAGGAAAAGTGGGATATTCCCTGTTTTCAGGGACCATCCCAGTTTTCTGGTGTTAAAAAAACCCCAGTTTACAGGGACTTCCTTTTTCTATTTCAATTCATGGCATGAAATTTACAAAAGCGCATGTTTTAACTGTATCAGTAGTATTTGTAAATACTTTAAGTATCTCAGGAACAACAAAACATGAATAAGTGAAGCCTTGTTTTTTCTAGAACTCAAAAACATACAAATCTTTTGTTTAGGAATCAGTTGATCAAGCTGCATGCTCCAGGTGTAACTGATCATAACTGAATTATGTTCACTTCTATTGAAATTTTCTATTCATTGAATTTAAATGCCTAAGTGATTAACTTATCTTTTTGTCTTCTCATAATTGATGATCAAGGTATGAATTGGTGAACAAAGGAATTGTTTTGTTGTGAGTTGAGCATCAAATAAGACTTGAAATTAGCTTGATTTTTGAACTTATAAAAACACTTGCTATCATATAACATTGTTATCACATGTAGAAGGTGCGCTTTTGTAGATTTAATACCATAAATTGACAAGGAAAAAAGAAGTCCCTGTTTACTGGGGTGTTCCCTGAAAACAGGGAATACCCCAGTTATCCTGACTTGAGCCCAACCTGATTATGGTGTCGTAGGAAGGCATCACAGATAAAAATCAAAATAGCCTATCAAGACGTGAGTCGTGATAATTATTTGGATTAGTCTAACTTGTACAAGGGATCATCTTTCCACCTGTTGCCATAAATCTGAACATAAGGCGTTTTCCAAATTATTGTTCTTAAACATGCTCTACCAATTGGTGTTTTTTTCCTGGAAAAACTTGACATCACAATGTCCTACATAATGTATATGATGCATGTTCTCCCCCTCCCCAACCACCAACCTAAGTGACCCCAGGTTAACATGGGCAGTTGATTCATCAAATCAAAATTGGAACTTTATTCAATTTGTCCTTATGTATTATTAGAACAATCACCATAATTTTTTGAGAAACCATACATGTAGATGAAAATATTGTATAGAAATTTAATAAATTTTTCATGTGACCTGCTGTGCATGTTACACATTTTCTTTTATTTGTATTTTCCAATGGGGCCAGATCAATGTGACCTATAATCGGCCAACTCAATAATGACCAGATGTCATGACAGTCAAATTGGCAGGCAATTTAAATGATGTTTTCAGTCAAGTTACAATTAGACATCACGTATATGCTATTGTAAGAAAAATAATATATAGCACTTACAATTTCATTTTGACTTCCTACTCCTACATTTTGTAGGTCATGTAGGTAGATTATGAGTATGACTACAAATATTAACTTCAGAAGTTTTCAAGCTTTTTGTACACTTCAGAATTGAATCAAATTTGACAAAAAGAAGATTTTTAGGTGAAAAATTTGAGTGTTTTGTACATTACTAGAGCAATCCAATATCTCTGTTGCCAAGAAGGAAAAATAGTCTGTACACCACTGTCCCAGGTAAGGGGGAGGGTTTGGCGCCAGCAAACTAGTCTAACCCCGCCACATTCTGTATGTGCCTGTCCCAAGTCAAGAGCCTGTAATTCAGTGGTAGTAGTTTGTTGTTGTATATCATATTTGTGTTTGTTCATAAATCTTGTCGTTAGTTTTCTTGTTTGATTTTTTTTACATTTGTCATTTCGGGCCTTTATACTGACTTTTTATGGGTTTTGCTCATTGTTGAAGGCCCTACAGTGGCCTATAGTTGTTAACTTCTATGTCATCTGGTCTCTGGTGGAGAGTTGTCTCATTGGCAATTATACCACATCTTCTCATTTTTATATACATGTATGTATGAACATGATGAATATTATGAATATTACTGATTTCAAATTGAATTTTCATAGTTTACTGAGTTTTTTGTACGTTTTGTTATTTTACACACCAAAATCAATAGTATAATAAATTTGCTTTTAAGAAACTATCAAATAACCATGGACACTACTATAATTGTACCTGGGAAACATTTTATACTGAGATTTTGTAAATAAAAGGTTTCCTGATGAAAAATACAAAAAAGACTGTTGATAAACTTTTAAAAAAAGCATAGTGGGTGGATTGACAAAACATAAAATAAGTTTATTGCATGATTTTCTTAATCCCAAAATTTGTGAAAAGTTCAAAATACATAGTATTTTAAGTTGACATTATTATTTGTATTTTTATAGATCCAACATCAATATTAATGATGCCCTTGGTGACTATATGCTAAGTCTGGTTGATACATTGGATACACTTGCGGTAATTATGGTTTATATGAAAACAGGGAGACATTGTATAGTTGCTAATGAGACAAATATCCATTAAAGATCAAAGGACAAAGATGAAAACAACTACAGGTCACCATACTGCCTTCATCAGTTAGCAAAACCAATAATGCATGTTAAGGTATAAAAGATTCTAGGATGATAACTGGTGAAACAATTCAAAAGAGAAAACCATCAGCCTGATTTATATAATAATAAAAAAAAGCCAGCAACCAATGTCAGCCACTGGATTACAGGCTCCTAGCTTGGGACAGGCACAAAAAGAATTTGACTGGGTTTAGTGGGATAAACATGTTTGTAAGGAAGCCCCTCTCCTCTTTTTCCTGGGACCGGTGAAAAATCGATTCAATCCGGTTTCCCTGCCATGCCATGTAAGGAACCCCCACCCCCCTTTTTCTTGGGACTAGTGAAAAAACTACTTCAACCTCTACCGTGCCTCTGTGTACCGTTTACATAGTTGTTTATCCGTAAATCATTCAGCTGTGGGTTCACTACTCTATACATCAGATATCTCATCTCCAGTTCACATATCCTGATTAACTACCTCTGCAAAACTTCGATCATTCTTTCACCAATAATACATGTGTATAGTAATTCATTCTAAAGCATACAAATGGAGTTTGACATCATATAGTAAGTTCATATACATGTACCTTTACCAGCATGTACAATCTCAGCAAAACACTGTTAAACCATCAGATCTTATCAAATTTGTTTATTACCTTCTTTTCAGTCCAGATTCTTGTAACTTCCCAAAAAAAGATTATACACATATTTATACTTAGTGCACCTGTTATTATTTTATGAAATTGTTTGAGGAATATTATTTTTCCAGACTTTAAACTAATACATCTTTTAAGAAAAAATTTAAAGAGACAGTACATGTAGTTGTTTGAAGGCCCCCTTCCCCTAATTTTTATGGGTGCTGCTATACAATCCTAGATGTTTTGTTAAAGCAAGTTATATTTTAGGTCTCTAAATATAAGAGAAATAAGTTAATTAAGGATAATCTCTAAAATTTGAGGGATTATTTTGGATTGCATGAAATTTTGTATGAATTTAGAAAATTCGCGAAAAAGCAGTAACTGTATACTAAGAATATACTTGTACCCCGCCGCATTTTTGCGCCTGTCCCAAGTCAGGAGCCTCTAGCCTTGTCAGTCTTGTATTATTTTTAATTTTAGTTTCTTGTGTACAATTTGGAGTTTAGTATGGCGTTCATTATCACTGAACTAGTATATATATTTGTTTAGGGGCCAGCTGAAGGACGCCTCCGGGTGCGGGAATTTCTCGCTGCATTGAAGACCTGTTGGTGACCTTCTGCTGTTGTCTGTTCTATGGTCGGGTTGTTGTCTCTTTGACACGTTCCCCATTTCCATTCTCAATTTTACATGTATATAAAAAGAGACAAAAATGCACTTTTTGATTTTAAATTGCTATTTTTTCAAAAATGTTTCCACCAAATTTTGTTAAAAAAATTATGATCCTGTTCCACTCAGCATCAGTATGAATACAAAGTTTTATTGCTGCCTTTCTGAACCATATCCTTTTTTTTAACATCTGTATCATTGTGTGCATCTGTAAAAACCTGCAATGTACAGTGTTTATTTTAATGTAAAGACATATGATCTAGAAGAGAAAAAAGGGAAGGACAAACATAAGACTTGTTTTACCCCACCACATGTTATAGATATAAGAAGATGTAGTATGAGTGCCAATGAGACAACTCTCCATCCAAGTCACAATTTATAAAAGTAAACATTATAGGTCAAAGTACGGTCTTCAACACGAAGCCTTGGCTCACACCGAACAGTAAGCTATAAAGGGCCCAAAAAATTACTCGTGTAAAACCATTCAAACGGGAAAACCAAGGGTCTAATCTATATAAAAAATGAGAAACACTTATGAACCACATCAAAAAACGACAACTACTGAACAATCAGATTCCATACGACTGTTCCATGTCAGGCTATAAAGACCATGTGTAGACACCTTTTATTTGTTTGTATAGGTCAATTCTTTAGTAGGAGTCAGGTGTTGGTGATTGATGTCAGAGGGGGATTTAAGGGGGAGGGGGTTTGGCCCCCTTAATAAGATATATAATTATGGTTATTTTATATATTTACAAGTCCCACTCCTATGGTGCTAAGTTGTTGTGCCCTACCTATTTCAAAGTCCAGGATGTGGTCTGTTGTACTGTCATGTATTTTGTGTGATTCCTGTTATTATCCTTCTATGAATCATTATACAAAAATATACATTATTCATATTATTAAAATTATTTATTATTTTAGATAATGGGAAATAGTACAGAATTTAAGAATGCAGTACAGATTGTGATCGATAATCTTGTCTTCAAATCAAACACGGTACAAGTTTTTGAAGTAACTATAAGGTTAATATAACTATTTAATTATAATATATCAGACCATATGGAGTTAATTACATTTGGTTATTTCCTTTTATTTGTATTTTTCACATATCTATGACTGATTTTCTTTTTCATTAGTTGAAATTGAAGAAAAATAGAAATTTATTAATATCTCATTTTACATGAATTGGCATATCTTTGAAACTAAAATCAAATTTATGGTATATATATTGAAGACTAGACATTCAGTACAAATATGCCTGAAAATTGTGAAGTAAATATAGTTTATGCCCAGTGTCTAGTGTCTTTGAAAGTCAATAGTCAGAAAATTTAGCTGTCTATTTTCACAGTTTTGCTAGTTTGAAATTTTTGTGACATTTTTCTCTTGAACTACAAATCAGAACTTCCTGATATTTGGTATCAAACTTTATGTAAGCATCCTATATTGTGTTCTGCTTTTTCTGATTCATCCCTCAAAAACTTTCTGTTTTCCTAATGCTTTAATATATATTCATAAACATAATGGCCATGTACAAATGTATGTAATTTTCATCACATTTTTCTCTGAACCTACATATCTTGGCTTCTTGAAATATGGAATCAAGAACCATGTAAGCATGCTACACTGTTTGATGCGTTTTCACATCCATTGTTGATAAACTTTTTTGTTTACTGAATGCATATAGTAGTTGGGTTTAAATTTGTGAGCAATAGCTTACAGTTCAACTTGTCTATAATATTTCAGAAAAAAAAATAATTTTTAAATGCCTTGCACCTTAAAATCGAATGTCTGAATAGTTGTGATAGAGAGAAAAAGATTTTATTTGTCTTGTCTGCGAAGAAAGTTGCAGCAGCAAGTGAGACAGGGATTACAATCCGTCAGCTGCTACGACGTAAACTATTTGTATAAAGCTTTATATTTCAAAGGGTAGCAGACTTTATGCTTCATACCTTGTTTGCAGATGCCTTATGTTAAGAAGTTTCCGTCTGTCATATGTCTATTGTCCTTGTCTTTTATTCATGGTTAAATGACTGCTAAAAAAATGTAGAGTTTTTCGGTCATGTGAAAAACTGACTTAATAGGATAAAAGAATACCTATATTTGATAAATGGGATTCTTCAATTTCTTGCAAGGTCTACATGTCTGTCAGACAGGGTTTACCTGACCTTGACCACATTTCATGGATCAGTGATCAAGGTAAAGTTTTCGCGGTCAACAGGTATCTCAGATACTATTTAAGCAATAGGTCAACTATATTTGTTGTGTGTGGAATGATTGTAAGTTGTACATGTCAGACTGGCAGGTTTCATCTGACCTTGACCTCATTTTTATGCTTCATTGGTGATTGTTCAAATTTGGTTATTAGATCTGTTTCTCAGATACTATAAACAATACTCTTACTATATTGTTGTATGGTATGAAATTCAATCATAATAGGTAAAGCAGAAGAGACATCTCAATGTGTGCACTCTTGTACTGTGCTACTTTTTTTTACCATCATTTTTCCATCTACCGGTATATAAACAACTGGGACAATTATCATAATTATATTCATATTTTGGTATTAGGACTAGGTACACTTATATGTAGTAAGAAATTATTTCTATATGCTTTTGTATTTAATATTAATTGTAACACAAGTTTATGAATATGAGTATTTAAATGTCAGATTGTTGAAAAAATTCAGGTTAAGGAACTTATACATGTAACATCTGGAAGATAAAACAGAAATGTATTTACAATATAAATCAATAATTATTTATAAGTTAATGTAACTTAATATCAATTGCACTTTGTAAAATTAATGTATAATTTTTTATAACCAAGCAGCATTAATAATTTCTTTGTGGTATTTCCTTATTCCTTGTATTTCTTGGTTCTTGAATTAATTATTGAGATGTCCCAATTTCCCAATATATGTGTCTCATTTACTGTTGGATAATAATCATCAATATGTTTGCTAAACATTTCATAGTTGCTATGTCATGTATGTACCAAATTTACTTCGACAACCGAGAGGTCCAATAATTTAAAAATCTGCTACATGTGGATTAGGGCTGTTACAGAAAAAAACATCTAAAAGTTTTGATGGCACTTGCATATCAATTTTTAGGGGGAGGGGTTGGGGTCATGGAACATAAAGTACTGGTATTTCATCAGTACACATGTAAGTATAATATAGTTGTTGGGGCTTTTGAAAAAGTGCTTTGTAATATGGATTATCGTTTACAAATCCACTAGTCTACTTCTTATAAATTCTCGACTACAGAAGTATTAATGGATTGTGTTGATTTTAGGACGGATTATGCTGAGAAAAATAATAAATACAGATTAGATGGAGGTAGACACCTTAAAAGGTAACATGTGAAGATAAAAATTCTTTACACAAGCATTATCATGATAAAATGTCCAAACTGCTGTTCATCACCCTGATTTTTTTTTATAATTCAGCAATGAATGATATACTGTAAACCAACTAAATTTTGCGAGAAGAAAAATAATGGCAATGTACATGTAGATCGTCGTGAATTAGGAAAACATGGATCTCATCAAGAAAATAAGAAAATTGTGCTTACAAATAGCTGTGAACTCGCCTAGAAAGTGCATAGCGTGAAATTAAGTATCTGCAAAATTAAGTTAGGTTTACAGTACATATATATTTATTTAAGTTGAGCACAGCTATGACCTTGCAGCTTATACATGAAGAAGATTTTATAATATTTTGTTTGTTATGTTTTTTCAGAATGTTAGGTGCCTTATTGTCAGCTCATCTAATCATTACTGACACAGAACAGCCATTTGGTAACATGAGTATACCTGGATATGATAATGAACTATTATACCTGGCTAATGACCTAGGCACCAGGTTACTTCCAGCTTTCGAAAACACAAAGACTGGAATCCCTTATCCTAGGGTTTGTTTAATATAAAATATTGCATTCATAGATTACCATATTGAATTTAATCACCCAATTTGTACTTGTCACATGTGGAACAGAATCTGCCTTTTTTAGACATATATATGAGTAATAAAAATAAAACTGTATTAAAGTGGTATCCACTGCGTCAAATTAATGGGTTTTTTTTTCCAATTTTATTGGAAAACAGGGATAATATGTTTTGTTAAAACAAAGAAATAGGACCAGTCACTTGATTAAGCAAATGTCTAAAAGCATTAAAAAAAAGATGAAGAACTATCTGTTAATTAGGGCTGTTCCATTTAAACATTGTGCAAGTAGTAGGCACTTTAGAAATTGGAAGTTATGCATATGTTCATTTCTAAAAAAATGACTTGCTCACAATATTTACATGCACATGATTTGCATGCAACTGACATTGACTGATATGTTTGTTTACCTGGAACAACCTTTATGAAGATCAGGTCACATATGTTGAAGATAACAATAATTTCAAAGTGATATTTAAGGATTATTCATGAATTGTAGGTAATTAAAGGAAGGTTGTAATATTACTTTACATACCGTATATGAATGTGAAGTGGTAAGGAAAACTTGATTGTTGCTTGTTTAACATTCAGTAGCCATTATTTCATGCATATTCAAAATGAGAAAATATTAACATTTACTCCAAAATATAGGTTCTTCAAGGAGGGACAACAGGGATAAAGGGTATGAAATTTGTTCTTTCTCTTGAAAACAATGCATGTTAGATAGCCAGGATAAGGACAGAAATTTTACATGGCAACAAGCCACCTACAGACCCTGTCAAAGATTTGTTGCAAAGGTTCTTAATTGTGCAGATAATGTGGCACTCTCTCTACATGAGGCATCAGATTAAATGTCACCATTCTGAATGGACATAGCTGAAAATTTATACATACTGCATTAAAAAACAAGTGTCTATAGCGATGTTAAAAATTTTTTTTTTAATTTTTAGGTGAACTTAGAGAATGGTGTGCCAAGTGACTGTGTCAATACAACCTGTACGTCTGGGGCAGGGACTCTTGTGTTAGAATTTGCCGTTTTGTCCAGATTATTGGGTGATCCTATATATGAATCTTATGCCAGAAGAGCAGTTAAAAATTTATGGCAGCTAAAGTCTAATGTTACAGGATTGTTAGGTATTTGCGTTGTTTTAATTGTCATAGTTCAGGGGTTCAAATTTACTTTAAGCAATGTAAGGTCCAGGACCTTTGACCAAACATACCGTTCCTACTCGCTTATTAGTCGGAAAATTGGGAGTAAAATTCATAATCCAGAGAGGGGGACCGACTAATAGACGAGATCTAGCGACCAGAGGAAAAATCCAAGCTTGAGAAAAGTGGTCAGGAGTGAATTTCCTGGTCAAAACTACGTTTTTGATTGCCAAACCTACATAAATCAATAAATAAAAAGTTTTTGTTGAAAATAAATGACTACAATACTGTCTATGTGTTTTATTTGTTCTTTGGTAAACATTTTCTGCAAATTCGTGTTGAAATTCTACTGTTTCCGGTTTGTGTATTGATTTTCATGGTCACATGGTTTTCCTATAAACCCAAAAGAAGAGCCAAGAACCAAAAATGAAAAGGAGATAACAATGTACCAAATATGTGAAAGGATGTTTTCAGCGGAGTTATTGTGTCATTATTGTGATATCATGATATCAATTCAATGCTTATAAATCATATAATAATCAAAAAATAACTTTAAGATTCATTCCCAAAATCAAAATATTATTCATTAAAGTGTCTCAGGTAAACAAAAATTACAAAATTGATTGACAAGCCAATATAATCCATTGATAACCCCAATTAAGAGACAAAGAGTTGTATTTACTAAAGGTGTGAAAACTATCAGTGATAGGTAAACAGATGACACTAATGAGTTGGAGTTAGTTATTTTAATATATTGATTAGCTTCACTTAATTTTTTTAATCCTTTAATCATCACAATATAATAAGAATTATGAAGTGTACATGCTCATTTAACACCAAGTTATGTATGCTGTTAAAAATATTTTCATCAAGTGTTGATTGACTTTAAATTTTTCAGGTTCATATTGGTTTATATTCGCTTTTCTCAAACAATAGGTTATTAGTCATACCCTACAAAATCATTGATGCATTATGTAAACAACACATGGCTAATCTAACATTTGAACAGTGAACAAAACAAGAGAAATGAATACATCTTTATTATTAACAGCAATATAAATTATCATGATGAGCATCAACTAAATTCAAACCAAACAAACATTAATGCAGAAATGAATATTATTCCTGGATTTGCATTGGTTTTACCGGCGTTCAGTTACTGTCAGCTGAAAAAAAAATGCCCAAATTTTGTCCGACTTATACGAGGGACAAGACTAAATCCTTAGAATTTGGAGCTGAAAAGGGCCCCCGACTTATAGTAGGATCGACTATTAGGCGAGTATCTACGGTACTTGAAAGTCCTCCATTATTCTTAGAAGGTCCAATTTTTATGAAAATTCAATTTATAAAAACAGAAAATGCTTAAAGAAACAACAAAACATCCATCATATCTTACTACATTAACCTCATTTTTTTCTGAATTTCTTAAATAAATTCAGTCAGAAAAAGGCTTCCCCTTATTCCATATATGCTGTGTTAAATAGCACTTTTTACTTTTATAATTGGTTTTGTTTCAATTTCTGTTTAAGAACAATTGCCTAACTTTGTGTCAGATAACAGCTCAACTTCGTTTTCAAACTTGGGGTCAGTTTCTTTTAACCACTTTCTTGGCAAGACATCTAGATACTGAGTGGTAATTTTTCATCATGATTTTTTATGGAGTCAAGTTTTAATTTTTGTTGTCCAATGAACCAGGGCACTTTCCCTTTCAATGTTTGTGGGAAAAATTTACGTTCTTGTTTTTCCCTGTCATATTTTTGGTCTTTAGTCAGATCCTGACTTTCGGGCTGCGTTAAGACGTTTCATCAATCACCCCCTTCGTATCCCTTATTTCACCAATCACCCCCTTTCAATCCTTTGTTTCATCAGGTTTCCTTTGGAAGCTAGGGGTCAATCCAAAACCAAACAGACTCATATACTGTTTACTGGTTATGATTTATTATTATATTTTCGAGGTTCCCGGGATCTTGTACGGCGACCGGTCACATGACTACACATCAAATCAATTGTTAATAATTTAAGCAAATAAAGTTTCGTTTCAGTGAAGTTGCATGTTTCAAGATTATTTTTATTCTTGATTTCATATATTTTTGTTCAAAATGCCTTTGTAACTTTTTAACATGCAAAGTTCTTCCTGTGTACCTAACTACAGGTGGGAAGGTCCGAACCCGTAAATGGAAGGTCAAGGACCTCGGACCACCACTAATTTGAACCCCTGTAGTTGTTTAAAAAGCAGGCATTTATTGAATTTTTTGTGATCTAAAAAAGGAAAAAGAAAGGATATGGGTTATCCATCCATGACTAAAAATCAGTACATGCACAGCAAAAAGGGCCAAGTGAGCATTTCTCATCACTTGTCGTCGTCAGTTTACTTTTACCAAAATCTATGAAACTACTGGGCCAAATTTAACCAAACTTGGCCACAATCTCCATTTCGGTATGTAGTTTAAGAAATGTGTCAGATGTCTGTTTTTACCACAAAACTCAGACTCAAGTTCAAATTTGGGTGTCGTAACTTTTACAGTTCTCTAGTTAGGTTCCTTTATAATGTTACATGCAAGTGGGGCATCATCTGTACATGTGTCCCATGGACACATTCTCCATTTATTTATTCATTTTTGTCTATCTTGAAAATTATAATGGATAGAGAGAAATTTCTATAGCAAAATTGATCCGCAAGACAAGATCTAAAAATAAGTCAACATGGTTGAAATTGTCAGCCAACTCCTTATTACATTTCTTGCCATTTAATATGAAGATTTTTACCATTTTTTGGCATTTTTGCATATTATCTTGAAAACTAGAAAAGATAGATAGAATTTTTAACACAGGGAGGGGGGGAGGGTCTCTTCCTATATGAAGGTATATACATATGTGCCACTGGAATGGGTCCCTTTTTTGATACGTCAAATATATCAATGGGGTGCAATTTTACCGAGGAAATATATCAATGTGATATATCAATGGGTCATAATTGTTCAGTTTGTTGTGCAACGATCTTCACTGAATTTCCCAAACTCTTTGTCATTAAAATTTCCACATCTGCTGAAACTTATTGACACAAGTTTTGTTATTGATCAAACTTTATGGGTTATGATTTCGCTGTGAAATATATGTATAGATAGGGATTTCACAATTATTCAATATATGAATGGGGGGGTTTTTTAAATCCCAGCTGCACAAATGTACCCAAAATCCCATGTTGGGACCCCCCGTGATTTTTAATAACAAAAATGGTCAGCAAGTCTTAGACAAGATCTACAATCAGGTCAAGTTTTACGGAAATAGATAGTAGACTCTTTATAAGAGCAATTGCCCTTAAATAAGAATTTTTTTACCCTCTTTTGTGTTTTTGCATAAACTAAAGAAGGTAGAGAGAAACTGTGAACAGAATAAATGATCAGCATTACGAGATCAACAAAAAAGATATTTTTGCCATGAATTTTATTGTAGTCTACAATGTTGGAGTATGTCCATTGTTGAAAATGCACATAGACCTAGGTGAGCAACACAGGCTCTTTATAGCCTCTAGTTTCATTTATATTTTCGAATAGTATACACAATGTGATTTACCAAAAAAAAAAACCTCTCTAGTGTTGAAAAAGTGAATCACTGTAAAATGGCATAGTTGTTTGTGGTTTAAATTAAAAACAACCTGGGTCTTGTCTAACAAATGTGTCTCACATTCAAGACATGTCGGTAGCAATTTATCACATTAAGTAAACTATTGCTGACTTAATAGATTGCTATGTTGGCCTATAATTTATAATCCTTACATATTTATTGAAAATTCAGAAAGCCATTTTTTTGTTGAATCACTCACAGTCACCACGAAATATTACCACCAAGATTGATTTTATTACTGGGTAAACTGAATTCCATTTTTTGTACAATGGTAAGAATTCTCTTATTATCATTTTTCAGGAAGTGTTTTAAATATCCAGACAGGTGAATGGACAGGAGAAATGAGTGGTTTAGGAGCAGGTCATGATTCATTTTATGAATATCTGTTAAAGGTTTGTAAACAGAAGGCCTTTAAATATGTTGTGTTTTTGTTATAATGAGTTACATCCATGCTTTGTAAATTTTCACACAAAACTAAATTTTAGAAATAAGTGTAATTCAGAAACTTACAAAAAATCATTGAAAATGGTTGAACAATTGAGTTGTTGATTTTTTGGGTTATGTCCTCTGTAACTGACCCCACGTAAGGTCAAATTTTGCATACTAAACTGAAAAGCTAGTAAATAATTCAGTTATCTCTTTTATTTTTTTTAAATATTACTGAATAATTTAATTTTGGATGTAATACATCTTCTGATTGGCTGAAAGTTTTTTGTCTATCAGCTCATAGACATAATTTTGTCATGTGACCGTGACGTCAACATTTTTTCAGGATTTACTCCCTTAAAATAGAATTTAGAATTTAATAATAAGGAACGACTGTTAATATTTTTTCTGTCTATTTGAGGTTATTTCTTCATAGACAGAAAAAATATTACAGTCATTCCTTAAATGATTTCTTCCAAAATAGGTGAAAATTTATATAGAAAGCACATAAAATTGGTGAAAAACATTCTTTGATTTTTCTTAAAATCATCAAACCTTTAAAACCCATGTATACAAGATACGCTTCCTCAAGACAAGATGAAAATGTATTATCTGCCCAACAAAACGAATGAAACAGTTACAAAGTGTACAAAAGTGAAAATATACTTTCACACAGTGAAAAAATAATATATACTGTATTTTTATATTTGACTGGATGGAAACCACAAATATGTTGGATCAAGTTTTAGGTGTTGTACAGGCATGGTGTACCTCTTGATTAGGAGATTCAGTGATTTAAAAAAAAATACAAAAAAGTACCCTCAAATTATGAAATAAATACATCCTATAAATCTCTCTGCCACACTTTTGAAAATAATTATATTATCATTCTTTTTTTTTTAATTTTTAGAGTTATATATTATTTGGAGAAATAGAAGATTTAGAAATGTTTAATGAAGCTTATGAAACAATAAAATTCCATTTACGCAGAGGGTAAGTTGTTGCTTCATTTCGTTTTTTTTTTAAAGTACATGCAAACCTGTCTATAAAGGTCACCCTTGAGACCAGCATATACTGACCTTACATGAGATGTCACCTTTGAATTGAGATTAAGAATGCATAGGTATAACTACAGCAGGACAAGAAGAGAGTGACAGGTTTTTCACTTAATAGAGGTGACCTTAATAGCAGATTTGGCTGTACTGAGAATTTGTATATTATTGATGGTATTAATTATCATAGATTGCTGATAAATTGTAAGTTCAAGGATAATGAATTTCATGGTTTTGTCAAATTCTGCAAACAAGGCTATAGAAAATTTATATGTAGTTGAAAATAAGTATGCCACAAATAATATTGAATTCACAGTATTTGATAAAGCAAGGATAGTAGTTGTGTCTTCATAATTTTGATAAGGTCTACCTTTTACCTTATGCTTATGGTGGATTGAGTTGTTTATTATATTTTAGTGATTAAATATCCACCAAACATGTGTTGTAAATCATGTTGTTTAATAAAATGATGCTGTTAGGCTTTACACGAGAATAACAGTTGAAAGATGCCTGGAAACATATCTGTTCATATTTCTTTTAGATTAAATTAGAAGAATATTAATGTTGAGATTCAAATTAAGTGGCATACACAAAAGCATGATAAATTTATATTTTTAATCAGCAACTAAGTTTTCTCTTAACTTTTGATATTAAAAAAGTCAGTTGATTTATTTATTTGATCTGCAACAAATTTTTTTTTTTCAATTTTAGGAGATTAAAATGTAATAATGGTTCAGGTTATCCCCCTTTATATGTTAATGTACATATGAAAACAGGAGATACTGTTAATAATTGGATTGATTCGCTGCAGGCAGCATGGCCTGGTATTCAGGTAAGATAGGATATACTTTTATAATTGCATTGATTCACTACGGGTAGCATGGCCTGGTATTCAGGTAAGATAGGATTGACTTTAATGAATGGATTGTTTTGCTTCTTTCAGCTTTTGATTGCGTTGTGATCAAATAAATCTTATTATTTTAAAACATTTCCTGTTTGCTGATATGTTTAAAATTTAACAACACTTATTGTACAAGGAAAGTCTTCGTCAAAGTTTTCTTGGCATCAATGAAAGGGAATTATCAGTTATGCTTCAGAATACATGTTACCTCAATCAATTGCATGCAAAGACGCAGGTCCAGACCCAGTATTGGTCTTGTTATTTTGTACATGTAAAAATAATGTAGTGACAAAAGGATATTATTGGGTTTTGTAAAAAAAATTCACAATATCCTTGAAATGTCCCAACTTGATGTAAATAGAAATATTACTCCTCTTTATTTATATATTAAAGAAGTTCTCAAACATTGCTATTTATATATTACAGGTTTTAAATGGAGACATTGAAGAAGCTATATGTTCTCATGCCTTATTTTATTTTATATGGAAAAAGTATGGATTTTTACCAGAAAGATACAACTGGAATTTACGGGTACCAGAAGTTATGTTTTATCCACTGAGGCCAGAACTTATTGAATCCACATACTTCCTTTATCAAGCAACTAAAAATCCATTCTACCTCCATGTTGGAAAGGAAATCCTTCAAAATATTAATACCTATGCAAAAGCAGAGTAGGTTATGGTATTAGATATTATTTTTTGTGGTGTGCTTGTTTCACTTATGTTAATGGAATCTAGCAAAAAAATCCAATCTGTGCCAAAAGATTTTATACCTATTAGCCTGAATGCTCATTTCAAGAAAATACTTTTTAAATGTCTAACCAATTTAAAAAAACAATTTACTAGTCCTAACCAAATTTTTACTATTAACATGCTAGTTAGTGGTTTTGGACACAGACTGAAATTCCACATAATCATTTATGCATTTGTTACATTCATTGGTACATTGATGATTGGATATAAACAAATCAGTTAAAATATATTTTGAAATGGATGTTTGTTTTTAAGTGAAGTTTAACACAATGCATGCATTTTGTTAATTATCATTGTATGGTGAATGCAACATAGCTGTAAGGATAGGGGAGGTTTAAAGTTAAAACATTTTAGCCAAAAGATAATTAGACAACTTTTATAATTGTATTTAAGACTAATTTTTATCAACTGATTTATTAATATTGTAGTTCAGTCTAAGACTTGCAATGTAAACTTGATATATGTCAAAATTTCTTGATTGCTGCCATAACATATTAATTATTCATGACCTTGACACAAGATTCCTCCTTAAAAGTATCTAATAAATATGTTAAAGTGAAGACTTGATCACATCTTTTCACCTCTATATTGAATATAAGTTATTTATCACAGTCAATTGTTGCCAAGGACATTAGTATTTGTGATGTCCTTGACCCAGATTAATAGTTGGAAGGTCAGAAGTTGTAGCTGATAAATGCATTGAAATTGTGTCATGAACATTGCTTTGTGCTGCCTTTTCTTGTATCTGTTATCAATCTCCCAAACATCTATCATGAGCTTGTCCCAAGTCATATCTAGAAGAGAATTTCATACCAAGTAAATGAATTGTAATTATCTACTGTACACACCTGTGGACTGCTTTAATACTAGATCCAAGTTATCCAAGAAAGCAGTTATCAGTCATGAACTTAATAAATGTTATGACTTAGATCCAAAATATTGAGATGATACCAAGTAAATCATTTAAATTGGGTTTGTTGAAAAAGAGGAGTGGTCCCACTGCAGGGGGACCTTTATACAGTTAATGATTTATTTTTTGCTTAGTTCAAATATTTGCAATTTCTAGGGTCAAACCTGTTGGTGAAGTTTCATCTTTTGTGGTTTGATGACAAACTATCTGAAAGTTAAATTATGCAAAATTTTTATCTTAATTGTGAAATTAGTAAAAATAATAAATAAGGGATTTTTTTTATTTTATAACAGCTATTTATTTTGTTTCAGACTGCAAAGTTAGTTAATGAAAAATTATGCAATTTAAAGACTTCTGTTTTGTATTGTAGATGTGGTTATTGTACAGTGCATGATGTCAATACAAAGGAATTAGAAGACAGAATGGAAAGTTTCTTCCTTAGTGAAACTTGTAAATATCTATACTTGGTAATTTGTATTTCATTTATTACTTGATCATTGACTTAGCATATATAGGGTAATCAGTCTAATGGTGGTTTATGTTAATTAATTGCATGGCTACCAATAATTTATTTGCTATCTTGAGAGTATTAAGGATTTTTGAATACTGAGAAAGTAGTATTGTTCGTAGGGTAGTCTCGTTGTAGCATGCTCATTTTGAATTAAAAGGTCCTGGGTTCTATCCCCATGTGGGTCAAACCAAAGACTTGAAAATTGCTATTTGCTTCTTTTCAGCAAATCACATGACATTTATAATTAGGAGTAACAGCAAAGACTGGTTGGCTGAATGTGAGAATAATGTGTCTGGGTAAAATGACGTCTTCCTACTTACTGTTACCATGCTTACTAGCACATACAAAATCTAGCTCAGTTTGATGATCTAGTACAAAGCAGGGTTTATATTTACACCACATTAAACTCTTCTCATCCTGATATGCATGTACTATTTTCCAATGGATACACCATAATCATCAAATGATTATTGTATTTTTATTTTTATTTCAGTTGTTTGATGAAGACAATCATTTAAACAAACATGCTTCAAAATATGTGTTCACAACAGAAGGACATGTATTCCCTATAGATAAAAGGTTTAGAGTAAAACCATGGGAGGATACACAGACTGAGGAGAAGGAGAAAGAAAGTGTTACAAAAGTTATGAGTGTGGTGAATGTAGCAGATAATTCTACTTTCAATGTAAGTTATAGCCACATAAAAGTCAATTTTAGTCTTATAGATATTCGAAGAGGTAGGAAGAATTTATTTATTAATTTTTGTTGATTTTACTGAAAGGAGTTGGGGCATTAAGACCATTTTGTTTTTGCCCAAGTGATAAAAGATTTGAGAACTGCTTCAATATAATAAATAAGACAAATCAAGAAATTGAGAAATTGTGTCAAAACGTTTGCAAATTTCACAAAAAAGTTACGACAGATGTTGGTTATATGCAGGTACCTACCGACCAATGTTTCATTTCTGAAATCACATTCAACAATTGCAATAATAAATGCATGCAAAAAATTTTGAATTTACAGTATTTTTTCATTGTCTGTTAACTTTTATATTTTCAGTGTGATACCATTCCAGATGATCGTAAACATTTTCTACCACTAAGAAGTCCATATTTTGAACAGCTTCAGAGTGCAATTGGTATAGATTGATATGTACCTGTTTTAGGTCATTTAATTTATTAACTGTGGATTAAAACTCCTGCCAATATTTTAGTATCAAATATATTCTATTTAAATCATATAGAACTTTACTTGACAGCACTGAATATATGTGGATATTTTAAGATCACTTAAAGCCAATTTCTTTTTTTAGCTCTCTTTATTGTAGCACATGGTTAAGGTTATTCATCCAGTGTAACTGAAGAGATCGTTACAATTACACAGGTTCCAATTTACATTTGTTAAATTACTAAATAATATTCACTCATGTCGTAATACAAGGGTTCAGTTTAGACAGGTATTTGGTTTACACAGGGTTTGCTATGGACAGGTCTCACTGTATTTAAAGTACATAGTGGTCACATTGGATGATCACTGCTTTAGCAATGTTACTTGAGAGTAGATATTAAGAGAAGAAAAGAAGTTGCTTTTTATTATACAAGTCCATATTTCTGATTTATTTAAAATAATCTTCTAAGAAATGTTCATAGATTCATTACTTTCTAAAGTTATAAAATGATTTTGTTATGTTGAGAATGTCTTTTTATGCAATTATTTTCAAATCACAGCAGATCTCAATTTTTATTTCTTCATTACACATGATTTGCTGATAAAAATGGATATTAACAGTGTGATTAAAGGCAAGAAAATAAACTGTTGTTACCATGTTTTTATTTTATGTAATAAGTATATTGAACATATATTCTACTGCATTAGATAACTTGATTTATGTTATTGTTGCAACTTTTAATTTGTGCCAATTTAAAATAAATATGTAAATGAAAAACAGCAATATTAATAAACAGGGAGGAAATTCAAACTTTGTGATGTTTTATATTTATTCGAGATACATTTCAGTCTGACACTTAAGATTATGCTCAATTTTATTTGCGAGAGCTTGAATTTAATCTCACAAGACCATTTTAAATTTATGCCTGGTAGATTTTTATGCCCCATTTATGGGCATTATGTTTTTCGGTCTGTGTGTCTGTTCGTTCGTCTGTCCGTTCGTTTGTCCCTCTGTCCCGCTTCCGGTTAAAGTTTTTGGTCAAGGTAGTTTTTGATGAAGTGGGAAGTCCAATCAACTTGAAACTTAGTACAGATGTTCCCTATGATATCATATTACTAATTTAAATGCCAAATTAGAGAGTTTTGACCCCAATTTCACGGTCCACTGAACATAGAAAATGATAGTGTGAGTGGGGTATCCATGTACTATGGACACATTCTTGTTTTTCAATATTTTTTTTCTGTTGCAATTTGAAAAGTATACAATTTTTCCATATATACCAACTAGCTCTAAGATATTTTAGAAAAAAATGTGGGTATAAAATCACCAGTAACTTTAAATGCTTAACACCTTAGTTAAGTAGCTAAGATTATAATGCTACTGTGGATTCATTAATTTTTTGTGGTTTTGAGAAAATTGTGTTTATGAAGAAAATTGTTAAACTAATTCAAAAGTATGTAAGAAATTTGTATTTAAAAAAACATAATAATTTTACCAATCACCTACTTGTATATCCTTAAAATTTACAAAAGAAGTACCCCACAATAACCTGTATTTGTGTCTTGCATGTAATTGTCCTGAAATTTCCATCATCATTTATGTAATATATAGCTGAATTGCAAAGATTTAAGGGCATACGATACAGTTTTGATCCCATATTGAAATTTTGATAAAAATTTGCATGTAGGCTATTTTTTACCTGATTAAATCAAATATGTAATAAAAAAATATCCCTTCATGTGCTACTTTTTGAGTAAATTGAGGTTCAAATTTCAGATATTTCCTCAAAATACGGATTTATGGACTTATTTATCCTTTCGATAGAAATACATAACTTTTTTGTTTTAAAAGATAAACACGAGCTGTTTTTTGTTAAATTATTTGTAATGTATGTGTTATATAAATATTGTATAAATTTGTACATTTTATTTTTATAAATAACTCAAATTTCTCAAATGTTCATGAATGTAGAAAAAAAACGTCATTTTTTGCTGTATAATAATCAAATTAAAAAAAATTGCACTATTTACGTTTTCATGAAAATTGGTACACATAATCTTCTTACGTAATCAAACCAAATGTCATTTTAAAAAAGAGGGGTCCATGAACTCGTTTTGAAGTTAAATCAGTTTGAATGATAAAAATCAGCCGAAAACTGCATCTTTTCCGGATAAGTCAACGTTTGACGTCGCGAAAATAACAATTTACGTTAGCAACGTCATTACCTCCCCTGTAACTGTATTGTATGCCCTTAAATGCAAGTCTATTCATCTTAGATCTTTATTATAAATGTAATTAGGAATTAATGTATACTGGAAGGTTCTAGATGTATTTCTGTATACAAGGCAGTTTTGGTCCATTTGTTAATGCCATTGTTCACCCCACTTGCCAAACTGTCATGTATTAATACACGATTTCATTTTATTCCATGATATTATTTGTATATATCATATGTTTTATTTTGATAAAGGAAAACAGTATTTCAAATAAGTTTAGTATTGTGTATTTTTTTTATGTTTAAAATGTGACTAGGAGAAATCAATTTTTATTCAGAAGAGTTCTATTATAATCTTACACAAAAAATTTTAATGAACCAAATAAATGTTCCATATTAATGGCAATAATTGAAAATTAATGTTACTTTAGTTTTTCACCAAGTGATGTTGTTTAAGTTAATTGACTTGTTTATGCAAGTCTGATTGTCCAGTATTTCATCCATCAAGCAAGTCAAATATCTCAATTGTACAATTTGTTAACCACAATAAAAAAAATATTGCAGACGTTAAATGTTAAATTAATTTTTTTGATGAATATTTTGATTATGTGTTGTTTAACTTTCTGTGAGTAGTCCAAATTTTTACAGATACAATATTTATATATAGATAAGGTATACTACGCCAGTTCCAGGATACGGTAGTTAGTTGAATCTGTCAGTGACTTCCATCACCAAGTGACCAAAATGTAGGAATTGTCACTTCCAACACATATTGAGCGATCCGTGAAAAAGTTTTATCTAATACTACACAAAATATTTGGGGAATTAAAATCTAAAAAGTTGGTTACCCTCCCTTTAGTCATACAGGAATTAAGATTACGTACTTACGGAACATTAATTATTTCTAGACTACCCTGCAGAATGACGATTCTGAAAGTGCTTGAAACTGTAATAGAGCAGGGAAAAAGCAGCGCCTTCTATCTGGTAAATGACGTCGTGCAAAATTGACGATTTTTCCAGTGAAAGACATGATTTGAGAAATGGCCTAAAGGACCCATTATTTAGCCACTTATAATGTAAATGTAGACAGAAGTAAAAAATTTCAATTCTTTTGAATGCTTCTTTTTCTATAAATCTCATTTGGGTGTAAAGGTATTGACTGAAACATGTTTTAAAATTAAAATGTGCACTAGGTCAACACTATTGCAGCCCTATAAAGTTTAATTTTCATTTCCTATTTTATGACATTTCAGTATGAATGAATAATGAATGTATTATTCAATGATGAAGATGAAAGAAGGCGGCATACTTTCTACTGTGCTACTGGAACTTTCTTATACATTTGAGGTACATAATATATTTTTATTTTATTGCGAAGGCAATAGGCATATAATTGCTTTTGAACTCGGGGGGAGAGTTGTCTCATTGGCAATCATTCCACATCTCCTTATTTTTATAGTACTACCATTAAGATCATGTGGCATTAAACAACACCATATCAATTATTGATCATATTATAACAACCATAATCTCTTGTAAATTTATTCACTTCATTATTTCTAAGGTTGATTCAGTTCTGGTCATAATAAGACATTTGAATATTGATGAATACATTAGTTTACCTAGATGTCATTTGTGGGATTTTGTCTCCTTGGGTTGGTATCTCAGCAAAGAATATCCAAAAACTACCTTCATTCATATGAAAATTTTGTGGGCAAATTAGTCATATTTCCTTAGTGTGGGAACTTATATAATGATTGTTCATATATGGAACATTTAAGCTACAGGTCAGGCTATGAATTGCAATGGGTAAAGCCTCTAGTTGTCAAATTCTTACAGCTATTATGTCAAATTTGAGAGATGGGCCAATGGTTGAATCATATTAGACAAAAAGGCCAAAGATATACTTATATATTAAAAATATCAACAGCTATATTATTGATGTTCCTTATCTCGAAAGTTACTGGAATGTCTTCAACAATGAAGTTCTAACTCACAGCGAGATCGAGATGACTTCTGTAATACTTGTAGTAAATAGTTATTCTGTCATAAATATAACATCAGCTCATTCTTCTTGATAGATAGGCAGTTAGTTTACTCATATTAGAAGATGACTTAATATAATTTATCCTGAAATTAGTCTGTATTGTCTGAATATCTAGATCATCTTAAATGTGATAATATTATTTTGATTGATTGATTGGTGTTTAACATGACTTTCAACACTATTGTGCTATTTCATGGGGGTCAGTTTTTATTGGTGGAGGAAGCCAGAGTGCCTGGAGAGAACCATTGACCTTTGGTAGGAAAACTGACAATCCCACTCAATTAAGATTGGATTCAAGTGCAATCCAATCTTTATTATCTGTGCAGAATTCAAATTCACATCAGTGGTTGACTGGCTAGTGATACAGTAGTTCCGACTACTTAGACCATTGGGCCACCAAATTATTTTTTTGACGAAACATTTACAATTAGATATAATATGAATGAAGTCATTTCTTTCCTTTTTAATTGGCTTTTTACTATGAACAGTTATTGCTATAATGAGTATTATAATACTATGCCAAAATCATCTAGATGCTGTATTAAAATAAGATTTTTGGAATACTATATATACTGACATGATTTTGCTGCAGATTTGTTTGTTATTTATATTTATGATTATACAAATATGCAATGATATATTGTTATAAATTAAAATTTTTATAAACTGGTAGTACTTTGTTTGCTTTTATATTTATATCATATGATTAATTAAATATCACATGCTAAATTACCTAAGACAATTTAGTACATACAGCTGTCACCAATATTACAATATCAAGTTTTTTTTGTCAGCAATTATTCGAACAACTTTTCAATCTTTCCACCAGTTATTTTCATCACTTTGATAGAATCCATGATTACATATTAAACGGAAATATTATTGTGATAACTGTATATAATGTCAAAATATTCACACAATATTACTGTCAACTAAAAGGCATGGGGTTCCTGAAACTGATCATCACAGTGCATGCTTATTTTGAACAATTAAAAACAATAACAAATTAAAAGTTTTATTATAAACTAAAAAGTGGACAGAATTAACAAAGTTATTGACTAAAAAAGTATAAGAAATAAAATCTAATACATAGTTAACAATGTATAAAGCTATTAAATATTCATGGATAACAATTTCATAGATATAACAAGTAACAAGTTGGCTAAGCCATGAGTTGCTCCCTGAATTTTATTATTTAACAGTAATGTGAAAAAGAAAGACTTGCTCAAAAATAAATTATGATGGTTTTAAAATTTACAGAAATTCTAATTGCCAAGGAATGTAGCTGTCATTTTTAAAATAAAACTCTGAACATATTTATTGTTAACAATCCCTTTAAATTAAATAAAGCAAACCGTAATCATTTAAAAACCGTTGACTTCGAGGTTTTTAATATTTAAAAGAAACCAATTCCTTAACCACAGACATTGAAAATTGAATATCAATACTAGTACTAGAGAATTAAAAAGTTATCATCATGAATTTTTACATGTATATTCCTATTTTTGAAAGTCAAAGCTCCTGATAAAGAGAGCAATCATTATAATATAAATCTATTGTATGCCAATGTAGAAAGAAACTTGGACTTGGCAAACTAAAGCACCTATCCTGACACCAATTGTTCTTTGAGGGTAAACAAACTAACCAGGGGGTAACCATTTACTCCCCTTTTAATTTTTTGTATACAAAAAGTTAACAGGAGTAAAAAAATATAAATAAAATAAAAAAAAAAATATATCAAAATAACTTTATTATAAACATTTGTAAAATATATCAAAATACATGTTTAAATAATATCTTTTTAAACAAAAAACATTCTGTTTAATATCAAATCTCAATTAACAACCAACTACATTATTGAAATAAACAATTTGTTTTGCTAAATAAACTGAGATGTTCTGCATACTTCCCATAAAAAAAAAAGAATTTTTTAACAAATACTCTATTTTTTTAAATTAAAACTGCATAGTAAAAAAGATCAGAAAAAAAAATATTTGAGAAAATGAGAAGAAATTATGATGTCTTCAAAAATATTGCTACCAACAAAATCACACATCACTAAAAGGGCAGAATCTATCAATTCTTGCTTGTAGTTTTGTATTATACCCACACACCCTGAACAGTTTATATTCAAGATTTAATAAGTGTGATAATACAAAACCTTTTATAATGACTCAAGTATTTCATCAGTAACAGTAACAATCAAAGCGTGATAGCGCTGGAAAAAGCATTTGCCTTATATCTTACAGAAAATGTCAAAATCTAGATCATTTTTTTTTTTAAAACTGTTTCCATACGAAATACATTGTAAACCAGTCCGGTAATGATATATCTTAATATTATTAATTCGTATATTTTAACAAATTTGATTCGTTTAGGGACAGTCACATGTTAAACTATATTTTCGAAGGTAGAGAGAAAACGGCGGATAGCAAAAAGCATATTGCACAGCAAAAAGCATATTGCACGGTTATTTTTAGAATATCTAAAAACCGATATACTTTGTGACGTCATGTAATGAATTTCAGAATATTGTTCAACGTTTTGAAACAAATGACATCTGTGATCGATTATTTGACAATTTTTTTTTTCAAATACATAGGATGTCAAACAAACAAAAAAAAGTAAATGAAATAACAACTAATATGTTGTTATTGTCAACAAAATCAAATGACGATTTTGATACAAATATGGTCGAAAATTAATAATATAACAAATATAGCCTTTGTATGAGGTCAATACAGGATATATCGACCCAAAGAAGTATATCGACCTCGGACTTCGTCCTCAGTCCATATACTTCTTTCAGGTCAATATATCCTTGTATCGACCTCATACAAAGGCTATATTTGTATAATACCGTAAATTACCATGAGGAAATAAACACGACTTGTTGCAGATCAGCAAATACAGTAAGGTTTACCAATACGATACTATTAAATTAACAAAAGTATTTTGATATTTAAACAAGCAAGAGAGCCCCTATTTCTTCTCTTGAAACAGCAAAATTTGATTCATAAAAATTAAATTAACCTTGTTGGTACGCTTTAAACTGGTAATAAGACGGTTCAAGATTAGCCAATAGAGGGCGCTGAATTTCTTGAAATCACTGTGTTTGAAAATGAAGCCTGTTACGTAACCTTTAGCTAATCAAAATTTCTAAGTAAAAGGGTTAACTATTAAACTTCCATTTAAATATTGCATTTGAGGAATGCTTAATCAAATTAACTTAATTTTCAATACAAAAATCAAACAAACATACTTTTACTCGATCTTTAAAGAACTGTAGAATGAAAAGCGTATGCACTCTATTTTTGATGATTAACAAAATGGCCATACACAATGACAATAAAAGCAAATGCTTTTAAAAACAGCGGTGAAATTACATGATTATTCAGTGAAAAATTCAGTTTTCATTAATGAAAGGCCAAATTTATACAGAAGACGAAAGTGAATAAAGATGATTTTTTATTGCTGCATTTGTTTGATTGTTTATTGCTGCAATTATGTGATTGTTTATTGCACTAGACATGATTAATTTATCAAATTTAAAAAAAAAAACACAGAACAAAACGAGTCAGTTATAATAACTGAAGTAAAAGAAGCAAAATCAAGATGCAGAAAGGTATACTTGTATACTATTTGTGATTTCGGAACTGAAGTATTCTAGACCATGCTTTCGATTAAAATGATTATAAAGCTTTTACTAAAAGATACAATCTGTTAACTATACACTATACAATGGATATACTTATAAGGGTGTTGGAAAAATTGGTTGATCCTTTAGGGAATCACTGATGCATGACTGGAGAGGGCACCCTCTTAGGCAGTCAGTGCCCCCACCCCTTTTATGAAAATTTCTGGATCCGTCATTGGGTGCAACATTATGATAATTTACAACAACAAAATTAATTTGTTAGATTCTAGAGACAGATTATAAGAGGGGTAATGATTCACCAAATAGCATTGAATGGCAATCATTTCCCTCCCAATTCAATTATTGGAACAATGAATGTCTCTTACATTTTAAAAAAATATTTATATATGTTTTCACTACCCATAGACAATGCCATCAATTTTTTCAATCAAAATCATTTTAACTTTAGGTTTGTTCTCTGTTTGCCTCATTTAGAAATAAAAAGGCAGGTTACAAATGATGAAAAACATCAAATGGCAGACATTGAGAAAACATTTCTACTCATAACACCGTAGTATGTACTAAATCTTTCCTGAAATATTGTTATATGTATTAAAAATATTTTTACAAATTACCTATATTACCAGAGCTTTCTACAACAGGTAAATATTATCCAAATATTATGAAATGTGGGGAAAAATGTAAATATCAGGTACGCAACTACAAAAATATATTACTGTTTCTGACTGATGTCAGATATGCATAAAATACACAGAGAGTATTGACTACTATGCGAGTTTTTCAATAAATGCTAAAACAAATAGTAAAATGTATATAGTTTCCTTAATCTTCATCATCCAAATCCTCATCTTCATCAATATCTGAATCAGGTGGTTGTTCTTCCTGGTCAAGGTCATCCGGACTGATCTCTACTTCTTTGATTTCAAGGATGGGTATCACTTCACAGTCAGATACTGAAAGTTAAAATGTTATTTTGTTTCAAACAAGCACAGATAAATATAAAGTATTTTACCAATTTATTTATATATAGTAATAACACTAATAAAAATGACAAAAACACAGCACAAATTAAGAAAAGATATCTAGAAGTTAACATACTGACTTCAATTATAGATAGCTGTGTTGATACAATTTCAATGTCAAATTGTTAAACATTTCTAGGGTACTGCAAATAAGAGCTTCCTGATTTTTTTTATCTGGCTTCATATGAACATGCTTTACTGTATGAGGTGTTTTCAGATTCATCAAATTCCCGTATTCAGAATACTTTTAAATATATTCTAACACAAAATGGATGTAGTTTTGGTCACATGCTATAGTGTGCGATACTATTACATGTAGTTACGTAGTGTGCTAGTGACCTAATACAATATATTATATGGTGTGAGAGCGATGGGGTCAATAAATTCCATATGGGGGTGAGAGCGAAGCTCCAATCCCCATATGGAATTTACTGACTTCATATATATTGTATTAGGTCACTAGCATACTATGTAACGAATTTATCTTACCGACTATCTTAACATGTGGTATTTAGACTAGTGGTCTATACAAAACCAAATGCCAACAATAATAACTTGTTAGCTTTAAATGTGTTTTATGAATTTATTTCAATTGTTCATCATCAATTTCTTCGTCTGTCGAAACCTTTCAGATTTTTCCCCAACACCATGTTGTTTTTATAAAGGCATAACACCACTACTAATTGTGTATTGAAATAAGCCCAGCTTACTAACCCCATATGAAATATTCACGGGGTTGCTTTAAACCAATCATATTCCTAGAAATGTATAGGAGGTATGATAAATTTTCCTATGTATGGCTTTATAACTTCCTGTTTACCAAATACTTAAAGCAGGGGTATCATAAGTGATAGAAGCAATAGTTCACAGTTCTACCTGTTTGTTTTTAAGTCTTGAATTTTTTTAGGGGATTTCCCTTACCAAAGCATGAACTGCTTTATTTGGAGGTACTCCTTTTGTATTCACAACCCTTTTTTTACAATTAAGTGAATCTATCTCACAATCTAAACCATATAACGCCATTGCATACCTCTTACTTATTATTTCTGGGGTTTCCATTAAAAAATCATGGACTTTGCCTGCTTTATTTTTGGGGTACCCATTTGTATCTACAACTCCTCCTAAATCCCTTATTACAATTTATTGATCCTTTCTCACAATCTTAAATGAGCACCCTTCTATTTATTTTTGTTTTTTTTTATCAGAAACATTTTTGGGGTTTCCCTTAGCAATGTATGACTTTTGCAATTACTTTATTACGGGATTTTGTATCCATGACTCCTCATAAACCCCTTGTTACAATTTGATGAAACTTTCTCAAAATCTTTACAATATAAAGCTTTTATGCAACTCCTATTTAATATATCTTTTATCAGAATTATTATTTGCATTTTCCTTAGTAAATAATGGACTTTGCAAGGGGTGGGGGGTATCATTTTAGCTTTGTTCGTGGTATTTCCAGTATTTTTCTTGAGTTGAAACAAACGTCAAACAACACAGAATTAGCATACTTTTATGTTCATAGATTTAAAGTTTTAATTTACTAGGTTACCAAATAATAGTCCAGTTTTATTCTTCAAAATTGAGCCTGCCAGACAGGGGTGCAGACTATAGCGTACAATAGGTAAGAAATAAGAGAAAAAAATCGATTTCGTGAGGTGGTTTGTTTACGTTCCGCCATGTTTGATATTGATATTGTAGAGGGCACTCTTATCATTTTCAAAACTAATAATTTTACCTCATCCATATTAATATGTTATTTTTATTGAAAATCAAATATATACCGATAAATTTAAAAATTAAATGCTGCACTACAAATTATTCGTTTCTTTTCACTGCATTGCTTAAAATAAACTGGAATCTGTTTGAATTAAACGCAACGAAAAAAGTATAAAAGTCAACCGAGAACCAGCTTATGATGTATAAACTACAAAACATAATCAGTTATTCCTTCCGTTTTGGTGTTTCATACTGATGCATGTGTTTTGTTTTACCCTAAGATACTTCAAACATTGATGTGATGGATATATTAAACATTGTTTTACACAAGGATGGAACTGTTTTACTTTCAAAGTCGTATTCTAGTGATATAAGTATGGATTTTCCGTACACTCTCCCCGTATTTATTTTCTTTTACACATGCTATTCAAACTTCCTGTTTAAACATACACAAATTTCTAAATTGTTTTTTGTGTGATTTTGACTTATTTTAACACTCGTGAAGTGTTCTAGAATCATTTACAAGCAGTTTCAACTTCTATTTGATGATGGAAAACAGGTTTTTCCATGAAAATACTGCAAACGACCACACACGATTTGAAATTACCAGAGTTTCTTGACAATTCTAACAAAAGTTTTTTTACCTGAAATTTTGCTGCGAGAAGGGTGGTGGGGACAATGTACCAGTGTGAACTCTACAAGCCTGATTACAGTAGGTCATAAATATTTCCTCCTATGAAGTTGGTTTGGCAAGTTTATTTTGTAAAATTGAAAATGAACATGTAATAACATGCACAATAAGTACATTTTATAAAAGACAATTTGAACTTCAGTATTTATTTTATATAAAAAGTAAACAAACAAACCATTTCCTTTAAATGTAGCAGGATACTTTGACAAACTACTTCTTTGAACATTGGCTCCCTCTAGTGTCCACCGTACAATTAAAATGGGATCTCTACTATAGCTCACAAATGATAGGCCATCACTACACCATTCAATTGAATCTATCTACAAAACAAAACATCACATTAATTCTGTTATGGAGAAACTACTATGGAGTTTATATATAGCATGTGAAAATTGCCGTACTCATTATTTTTCATAATTAAAGTGATGCCACAAGTCCAAAAATAAAATTATGATTGTTTCATGTTGCCTACCTACCCACCTAAAAAGCAAATTTTATGACACAAATTGTACCAATGTCTATTTTAAAAGTATATTTGTCTCGATATCCCTCTTTTTTTACAATTACAAAATTCCCACAACTTCCAATATTTTTTTAGAAATTGATCAACATTAAAAAAAGGATTTATGGTTTTTTTTTCTGAACAATTTCTTATATATTACATCGAATTTCACTCAAATAAGCCAAAATAAAATGCTTCGCCAAGCACAGCCTGATACAACCTCAGAGGTCTAACCCTGAACAGTTGGGGCAAGTTTGGACACAATATTCAAACTTGATACTGTCTGAATTTGGATTGTGATCAAATTTTTGACATAATATAGGTTTATGATACAAAATAAATGTGGTAAAAGATCTTAAAAATTTGAAATGGGACATTTAATTTACTAGTATGGTCTGATATCCAAATTCTAACAACATGGTTAGATTCAGCATTATATAAAAAAACACCAAAAATTTTATTTTAGTTGAAATCAAACAAAGTTTAATTTTGGACCCTTCAAACCTTAATATGGACTAATTTGAAAACAATGTGTCTTCGGACGACTGCGATTCCGACATGATAGCGTTATACGAACGCAAATTTTTGCGGTCGTATAACAAAAAGCAAACATATTGTATTAGAATTGTGCAAAGACAAATTAACAGACAGTGATAAGAACAAAATGTACTATGTCCCATAAAAATTGGTGTGTGAAAAGTTAACCTCAAGAAATTTCATCTAAAAACTAAGATTCTGGTTGAATTTCAATCTATATTTGGTAGGGATTTCAACTTATTGAAGAATTACTATTACAATATTTGTTGGTTTTACCTAAAGATACTCGAATACGAAAATATCTACACCAACTAAAACACAAACACATTTCACGCTTTGTGGTGTGTTGTCTTATGAACATAACAGTGACATAGTTGTTAACTTCTGTCATTTGGTCTCTGGTGGATCTTCTTATTTTTTTTTAATATTAAACCTTATACATTATTATCTGGGACTAGAAAAATAGTCCCAGGAATTATATACCATAATTAATAGCTCATTTACTACATGTACTAATTAAGTAAATAATAATCTAACCAATAATTTAATAAACACCTATTGAATATAAATACATGATTACATAGTTTAAGTTTATCAAACTCTAGAAGCTCTTAATATGTAAAGAGTGGTAAGGATTAACACTTGAATAGATCACTATTTGCAGCTTCCTGATATGTGATCCAGCTTAAAGTAACCTCTTTATCAAGCTTAAAAGATGAAAAGTTACCTCTTTATCAAGCTTAAAAGATGCCATCTGCTTGTATGTTTTCTTGTCCCAGAGACGAAGAGTTTGTTCCTGATTTCCTCCATAAGTCAAAACATATGGTGACTGGGGAGTGTAATAAATTTTAGATGACGTTGCCCTATGTCCAGTAATTCTTTTCAACAAAGAACCTAAAAAAAATTGATTGATTGGTTGTTGTACGCTCAACATCCAGTGACAAATATTTCATTCATGTTCAGGATGAGAACAAATTAAATACAATTTATTATTGTAGTACTGTGGATTCTTAATTATTCAAGGAATACCAACTTCCGTGGGTACAGGTACAAATTTTCTGTAGGCTTGTATGAAGCAGGCTTTTGTCAAACCATGTAATCAACTATCCACAAAAATACAATGTGTTCTTAATGCACAAAAATTGGTTCATACAAAAATAAATGAAATCACAGTAAATAAACTATTTACAAGACTTGTTGGCCATTGGCCTTCTTTACCTTCTATGTTATTTCTCCAAACTACATGGGAATCAAGAAAAAGCTTAACATTTTAATCAGATGGGTCACTGCAAAGACAACACGACTAAAAGTTCTTGAACTAACTAGATATCATTGAGATGGGAGCCATCTCTGTGGGCCCCGCTGTGAATAATGTGTGGTAAAAAATTTGTATCTTTATCATGTGACATGGGGTTGTCAACTGAAACCAAAGTTTTTGACCTTGACCTTTGACCAAGGAAGTTGTACATAAATTATGACACACCCTCTGGTGTTGGTTTATATACATGTCAAGTATAAACTTTGAAATCATAACGGTTCTGAAGATATAGAGCAGACACGATCTTTACCATATGACATGGGGTTGTCAACTAAATTCAAAGTTTTTGACCTTGACCTTTGACATAGGAAGTTGTACATAAATTATGACACACCCTCTGGTGTTGGTTTATATACATAGCAAGTATAAACTTTGAAATCATAAGGGTTCTGAAGATATAGAGCGGACACGATCTTTACCATATGACATGGGGTTGTCAACTAAAACCAAAGTTTTTGACCTTGACCTTTGACCTAGGAAGTTTTACATACATTACGACACACCCTCTGGTGTTGGTTAATATACATGTCAAGTATAAACTTTGAAATCATAATGGTTCTCTAGATATAGAGTGGACACAATTTGTTACGGACAGACGGACAGATGGACGGATGGATGGACGAACAGACTGATCACTATAGGGCGTCCACCATTCGGCGGGGCCCTAATTAATGAAAAATCAGCAAATTACAAAAGATATATTGAAGCACAGATGATATTTATTGACCATTTCAGGTATTCATCAGAAGTGAAAAACTTTGAAATAACTGATTAGAAATTCATTGACTTTCATTCATAAATTTAGAATATCATGTGGCTTTTTCAATATCACATCTGTATCAACCAGAGACACCAATATAATCCCAAGAGCTCTGCAAAATGGGGATTATATTGGTTGAGGGTTGATACGGTGTGTGATATTGAAAAAGCCGTATCATATACACTTTATTATATACATTTGACTGATATTGATGATGTGACGTCATTTAGATTAGGGGTGTGATAAAGCCTTTGCAACCGTGACTGATATCGATATCATCATGGATTCCTGATACAGCACGGTTGCTATTGTTCGTATTATACATGCAATTTATCTGTACTTACTACTTAGTATATAATAATATACACCGATTGACTGGTTATGAGGTTAATAGCAAGTTTGTTGTCCCTGAGATACCAACTATTGATCGAGGCGAAGTTCATCTTGTGCATGTTTATGTGACTAATAATATGTGCATGTTTATGTGACTAATAATATAAGTTTTTTCCAGGTGGTGTATGTAGACTTTTTAGAAAGATGTTTTGTTCGGTATAATAAAACACTTAATGACTGGTTATGAGGGTAAAAGCAAGTTTGTTGTCCCTTTGATACTAACTATTGCCCTCGGCTTTGCCTCGATCAATAGTTGGTATCTCAGGGACAACAAACTTGCTAATTAATCTCATAACCAGTCAATAGGTGTATAATATTTGACTTCATAACTTTACCAAGGATTTAAATATTTAACATCTAAATTCATTGTGAAAATTGACTGATCTACCATGTAGTTTAGAGAAACAACAGAGAAACTAAAGAAGACCAAATCAGGCTGAAATGTCTTGTAAAAGGTTAATTTACTACAATAATATACATTTGATATAAAGTATATTCCCTTTTCTACATAAGAAAATAAACAGCTGCGCCATGAGCACATGATACGCCCGTCGTCTTGTGTGTGAATTTTTATGCAATAATCATAAATAGTTTCTGACATAAGGCGCGACATGCGAAAACCCCCCTTTTTTTTTACAAAAAACTCATAATCTCTAAAATAAAATTTTGAATCAAAACCAAAAAGTATACAGATCTTATAATATAATATAACTAAGAAGTGTGTAAAATTTTAAGCAATAATCATAAATCGTTTTTGAGATACGGTGCGACATGTGAAAAAATAACATGCACCTGTTTTAGTTACTAAGTCCCGTAACTCAAAAAGTTTTAATCTTATTTTCACCAAAAGTATACAGATCGTTTGACCATCATAAGAAACAACTAACTTAAGTTTCATGAAATTTGGATAATTCGTTCTCAAGTTACGGTGCGATATGTTTACGCCGGACAGACAGACGGACAGACGACATTTGTATACCATAATATGTCCCGTTAAAATTTGGACGGGCATATAAAAACCAATATGTAGGTTTTGAAAGTGTAGAGTTGTTGCGTTGTTGCAAGGGTTCTTTAACATGCAGAGAGCATTGCACCCTCTCTTAGTGAGGCATGAGGTCTAATGTCTTCATTCTGATGGGACATGGTTTTGAATTTATACATCCTACACAGCTAAACAGATGCCCCACTGTGGCAAGGGTTCTACTGCTATTTGGCAGAACAAAAAGTGACAATATTTCTATATTTCTATACCCATTTCACCTTTCGGGTCTAAAATAGATTGAGAAATTTGGTCCAGTGTCTTGCAATGTGTATCAACTATGCTTAATCAACAAATGCCCAATGAAACTCCACTTTATCATAGTAAAAAACACAATAACCTTCAATAGTGTTTAACCCGGATAGATTAGGACTTATGCAAGAACAAATTATATGTGTATAACTTATTTGGGAGAGTACAATACCATTTTTTGTAGACCAGACACGGAGGATTTTATCATCATGAGTAGACATAATGGTATCATCATCCAGGAGAACAAATAAGAACACATCAACCGAGTCTTCTTCTTTTAGTATTTTATATTTCTTATGAACATCCAAATCTGTGAGTTCTTTTCTCAGCTTATCTGGAAAACATAAGAAAAAATAACATCAATTTTATGTAATTATAACAAGGGTTGTATATGGTAAATTCAGAATTTACTATTGCATATTCACAATTGAAACCTAATGCATTGTCAATCAATGCATTTTCAAACAATTTTGTAGATGGATATAACTTTAAAAGATTTAAATGAATTTGAGCTTTGATAATTGAAACTTTTCATGATACTTTGTTTTATCACATTTTTGCATTAATAAAGCCAGTGAATAAATTTCAATATTTCTAATCTTTAAAGCGTTGTCTATTAAGTACTGGAGACTATAGGGAGAAACAATTTACCAATTAATTAAACACTTCTCGCCCCATTAGATTTTTGGCATCTTTTAAAACAGCTTTGATCTGAATTTTTGATTTTTTGGTACAAAAACTGCAATATTTATATACAGGTCATTTACCTTTAGAAAAGAAACTAAAAACTAATGGTGGAGGTCTCAGTGGCTCAGAGCTCTAATCAGTTAAACTATTGTGATTACTAGCCTGTCACCACTGAGTTCAAACTCCGCTTGTTGCTACAATCTTAATTGAATAGGATTGCCAGTTTTCCAGCTGAAGGTCTGTGATTCTCTCTGGCTTCCTCCACCAATAAAAACCTGATTTAAAACACCAGCAAATATAAACTGCTTCTGTATACTTTCAAAATTCTACATGGCCTAGCCCCTGTCTATTTTGAGGAACTTATTAGCACCATCAAGATCTCTTAGATCGGAAAATGCAATGTGACTAATACAACCTCATGTACGCACCAAAATTTACGAAGAAAGACGTTTCTACAAAGCTACTGCGAGCCTCTGGAAGTATCTTCCTAGCCATCAAAGACATGAACACTCCATCAAACTTTTTTAGAAAAATTTGTTGAAAATTTTTATTCATTCTTATTGTATTGATGGTTTTAATGTTAAACACCTCTTTTAAACTACAATGATTGTTTTATGTTAAGTGCTTAGAGTAATTTTAATTAGATAATGTGCTTTATATTGTAAATAATAATAATTATGAATAGGCAATAGTGGTGAAAGTGGCGTTAAACACTAATAAATTGCTTCGCCGAGCGCAGCTGGATACGACAGCAGAGGTCCAACCCTGAACAGTTGGGGCAAAAATGGACACAATATTCGTGTTTGATACAGGTCTGAATTTGGATTGTAATTAAATATTTGACACATAATAGGTTTCTGACACAGAATAATTGTAGTCAAAGAACTTAGAATTGGTTATATGATTTGAATTTATATTCAATTTATTGCTTTTGTGCAATACACTATACTGTTGCGAATTGACCCCCCCCCCCCCCACAAAAAAAATAATTACCCCCCCTTTCTTTTTTTATTTTGTGCAATACACTATGCTGTTGCGAATTGATCCTCCCCCCAAAAAAACTTTTTTTGTTTACCCCTCCCTCTTTTTTTTGCCAAATAAAAAAATATTTGAAGAAATTTTCTTTTTAATTTCTGAAATCTGAAATGAGAAAAAATTGTCCCCCCCCCCCCCCCCCCCCCCCATTTTTTTTTCACCTTCCCCCCTCTTTTTCCAAAAAAAAAAAATTCTTTCCCTCAAGATATGGTCATATTCTCAATTCAAATTTCCAATAGAGTTTGCAACCATAATTACCCATTTAAATACATCATAAAAGTCTTAAAATAGAAAATGACATACATAATCATGGCTAAAATTAATATTCCTTAATCAGCATTTTTAAATAGTAACTTCTAAAAACAAATTGACAGCTAATCACCGCAAGACAACACAACATTTCTTTATACATAATTTAAAAGCAGTGTAACAGAGGTAATCCAAACATAACATTGTACTTTTTTTTAATTGTCCATTAACCAGGAAACCCTTGTTTTTCCCCCTTTTTTGCCCCTAATTCCTAAACGGTTTGAGCCATAACCCCCCAAAGCCAATCCTAACCATCCCTTTGTGGTATGGAAACTTGTGGTATAATTTCAGAGAGATCCATACATCATTCCACAAGTTATTGTCTGGAAACTAGAAAAATGCTTATTTGGGCCCCTTTTTGGCCCCTAATTCCTAAACTGTTAGGATTATAACCCCCAAAATCAATCCCAACCTTCCTTTTGTGGTTATAAACCTTGTGTTTAAATTTCATAAATTTCTATTTACATTTACTAAAGTTATTGTCGGGAAACCAAATGTCTTCGGACGACGACGACGTGATACCAATATACGACCGCAAAATTTTTTGCGGTCGTATAAAAATCAATCAATAAAAAAAACTAAGGGCTAATATGATCCTGTATTCAAATGGATGTTCAAATTTCAGCTAAACAATTCACATGTGATTGGTTTAATTAGTATGATTGTTGTGCAAGACTTAATGTTGTGAGTCATATTATATATCTAAGTTTTAAAAATATTTGAGATAAACTTTGTAAGGGCCACATTATGGTTTTATTTTCTTAACTTAAAAATATTTAACCTACCTTCCTTTAAATCCCATAGGTACATGGTGTTTATACTATCTTTTGTGATGGCAGTAAAAACAATGTAGCTCTTGTTGTTTGGCACCAACAGTTCTATACAACAAAAATCATCATCTAGTCCAAGATCCTTCTTCAAATCCTTTGCTTCTAACACCTTTACAATGGTTCTTGCTTCAACATCAATCACTACTATTTTCTTATCATCATCAGTTACAAATACTACCATGGTACCATCAATATTTGACTTAGTACAAACAAAGAAAAAATAAACTATAGTCAACCTCACTTTTATAATGGCATACCTTTTAATTGCATAATTTCTCCAGCACAAAACCATTTCCCATTTAGCTAATGTTAAAACATTTAATTTTATTCATAAACTAGCAAGAGCACTTTCGGTTAATTACATAAAAAATAAATGGGGAATGTGTGAATGGGACATAGATGATGCACACTTGCATATAATGTTATAAAGGGACATAACTCATGAATGGTAAAAGTGACACCCCCAGAATTCAAACTTGATCTGTGTTTTGTGGTAATAAGCATTGTGTATAAGTTTCATAACATTTGGTTGACGCAAACTTAAGTAAGAGAATGAAAACCAATTTCGGGACGTATGGACCTACAGGTCGACGGACAAGGATAAAAATTAATGCCCCCTGTGCTACGGCGGGGTCATAAAAATGCATCTAGATATGATACATTAAAATCTGACTATTGAATGAAACGCAGCGATAAGGTAAGTAGAAGTAATAAAACATTGCTCTTACATGCATTCTTATTTTTGTTTAAATTTTATACATGTATCATACTTGACTTAGTAAGAATACGTACATGAATAAACTGTTATCACAGAGATATGTCTCGCCTTTTTGTAATTTTGATAATGTAAATGTTGAAATTAAAATAGCAATACTTTTAACATGTAAGTTATGCAAATATTCAAAGTCGATGAACCATGACTGAAGGTACATGGCTGAACAATCTCCATGGAAATGAGATGTGCCAATGTTAATACAACTGCATACCAAATACCATTGACTAATCATAAGTCGTTCCCTTTAAACAAACCTAAACACAAACATTAACTTGTAAACTATGTAAAAGTTTCAAAGTCAATGAACCATGATGAGGGGGTGTGGCTATATAATCTCCATGGAAATAAGATTTGCAAATGCCAATAAATTTGCATACCAAATATCATTGACATAACATTAGCAGTTCATCTTAAACTGAATTAATCACAAACTAATGCATATAAACTAAGCAAATGTTTCAAAATCAATAGACCATGACTGAGAGGGCGGGGCCAAATAACTTCCATGGAAATGAGATGTGCCAATGCTTATACAACTGCATACAAAATATCATTGACCTTCCACTTGTGGTTCACCATTAACTAGACCTAATCATAAACTAATACATTGTTGCCGCGCCGCCGACGCCAGAAACAGCATACCTACGTCTTGCTTTTTGACTCCGTCAAGGCGAGACAAAGATGAGTAATTTTTATATGGATAAAATCATATTACAAAACTATATTGTTTTAATGTTCCATTACAATTTTGTGATAGGATAAGTTTAACAATATTAAACCTTCACATTTTAAATTTTGATAGCACTATTTGTATGCAGCATTTCATCAAATCATAATTATTAATCTCATATATTTGTGACTTATTCAAAAATTGGAAAAATAATGCATACAAGAATTTCTGAATTAAAAGTACCAGTACTATATTTATTACATTTTTATAGCTGAAAATGGTACCATAAAAGTAACCGCTACAAAAATGCAATAAATCCTCTACCAAAATTTAACGATCCACCTCACTTCATGTAATTAACTCTCAAACGGCGATATTTGATGAAGAGTAAAAGTTTACTACAGCATTTCATTAAGATTACACATTTTATACATAATTTACTAAATAAAAGCACAAAGTTTTGAAATGTGCATGTAGACAATGTCTTGCACTTGCATGTCAATGTTTTTCCTGACATCATTTTCAATGAAACAATAAAGGAGTAGGTCCTCCTTTATTGTTTCATTGAAAATGATGTCAGGACAAACATTGACATGCAAGTGCAAGACATTTTTGGCCTCAAAATTCAGGTTTATCTGATGAAAGATTTTGGACACTTTTTAAACACTTAAGTGTCTACTTCAGTCGATTCAATTAGTTTATGTGAAAGATTTGAACTGATTTAGTCATTAAAGACACTCAAATTCAAGCTTAGATATGAAAAATCTATCAAATATGCCATAATATGTCACTTTTCAGATGGTTTTTGTCAAAAATGAAAGTGGGAGCATCCGTGTTCATTCTCAACCTTTATATATGTTATGTATTATCATCAAATACAACTTACATTTAAATATTAAGAATGAACACAAATGCGGCCAATTCCATTTCAGACGGAAACCGTCTAAAATTTAACCAAAATGCTAAAATTTCAAAGATTTCAGTAATTTAGCATGACTTAATGATGCTAGTACCAGATACATGTGCATTGTATTGTCAAAAACAGCCCATATTTATGTAACAGAAGTATTCTTCTTTCCAATAAATAGCTAAAAATTTACATTTTAACAATTTTGTAAAACTGCTATATTTTGGGGCCAAAAAGGGGTCTTACTGGCCCTACTCCTTTCAGACCGAGAACAATAAACTGTTTACACATTGCATAAATGTTGCTTGTTGAATCTAATCATGTCTTCAAAAATTTTTGGTGGAATTTGGGGAAACAAGCAGGTAATTTGCAGATGACCTTTTTTGCAGGTAGAACAAAAATCAGGACTGCAAATTACAGGAAATAGTTTTTATTGTAATGAATGGAATAAATGATGTCATTTTTATAAAAAAAACAAGAATGTGTCCATAGTACATGGATGCCCAACTAGACTATTATTTTCTATGTTCAGTGGACCGTGAAATTGGGGTCAAAACTCTGATTTGGCATTCAAATTAGAAAGATCATATCATAGGGAACATGTGTACTAAGTTTTAAGTTGATTGGACTTAAACTTCATCAAAAACTACCTTGACCAAAAACTTTAACCTGAAGCCGGTCAGACGGACGGACGAATGGGCAGACGGACTGATGGACGGACGAACAAATGAACGAACGCACAGACTGAAAAATAATGCTCCTAGGTGGGGCATAAAAATATCTATCCAGAATCATAGGCCACACAGTAGTCTATTAAATGTATTATTCTCAAAGCAATAGAATACTCACTTCATAATTTCTTCCAATATAAGAAGTATCTACTATCTCCATTATGTAAGTTGCCTTCAGTGTCTCTTTGCTGTAAAATTTCACATTCTTTCCACCTCTAGTTGGTACCATAAATTCTAAAAACAGATATATGATTTTGTTTTTTTGTGCTGTTCCAGAAATGAGGGGGGAGGTGTTCTGAAAGCATTTTTTTTGTACCCATACATACATAAATTATTAAGTGATTATTTCCTATAATTTTCAATTTTTTTATAGGCGTGTATGCAGAATTTATATAAGAAAAAACCATGATATCAAGAATCTGTGGCAATGGAATATTCCTGAATCCAGTTGATTCCTTTGACTTCTCTAGTTTGCACCAGACACAAGCTGCCAATAAGTATTTACTCAATCATATTCTTCTATCTTCATAACCATTTTTTATCTCAAGGTTGAAGGTCCCTACTTCATTCAAAGCTTTAACCAAGTATCACCAATATCATACATGGACTTGAAATGTTATTGGCTAATTATTGATGCATCATTATTTGAGTCTTTAGGATTCTTCATGTTGTTGGGCTGTGTGTCTCAAATGGGCATGTTAGTACTTCACTTTGTAGTAAGATTACATGAGGGTCATAATGGGGGTACCTTCATGATAAGGATATTTTGATGAATCACTGTTGCCAAAATTGACCGTTTGACACCTGACGGTATAGGACATTGTATATATGTATGTACGGAGATCCCTCCGTTATTTGGAGCACCCCTCAAAGCTGAGAGGGTACAGTGGAATCCGTGTACACTCCCATTCGGGATTAATGGATCGATGTGTCACTAACGTATTTACAACAATATTTACAAGTACATCCGCACCCCAACACAAAGGGAGTGCTAGGTCTGTTAATATGGTGGAGGAAGCCGAAGTACTCGGAGAGAACCACCGGGCTGCTCGGTGGAAACAGACAAACTGAAGAGATTTCAGAAGAATGATCTCCATGTCAAATTAGGGGGCAACTTTGACCTACTGAGGCCCCCATAGTACCCATTCTAGTTAAAACTCCGGTCTAGGTACCAGAGATGTGTTTTGGAGGGTGAAAATCACCCTTCTGATGTAATGAAATTTCCAGCTCCAAAAGTTAAGAGTCGAACTTGGGACCTTCAGCACTGTAGCCATCGGTCTTAACCACTTGACCACAAACCCTCATACATGTGAACAGTTCCAATTGTATTTAATGACTCTACTTGCTCATATGACTACAATATACAATAAATGCATTGATGTTATAAAGTTAGTTACAGTCTGTGGAAGAATAGTGACAAAACCTTGACATTAGTCTCATTGATATTTACCAAATACTTCCTTTTTTACTGATACACTATTGATTCATTTATTTTGTGGATTGAGGAAAAATATTTGTTGAATGAAACTTGATTTCATAATTTTGAAAAATTCTACACAATTTCTACTTGAAATTTGTATTTTATTGTATGCTGAAGTTCATGGTAAATTTATACATTTTTTTGTAGCTTCCAATCCATAGGACTTGAAACCAACTGAATAATAAGTATAGTGTGAGCAACCACTCACTAATTCAATTTTTTTTAAAACACCCCTGCTCTTGGAAAATTTCATTTATGTGCATCAATGTGAAGAGCATACATATATCTAAAAAAAAAAGGAATTAGTTAAGACTAGACAAAGTGATGCCCCCACACTCCACTCTGAAATAACTGTATAATAATAAAGTCAATGTAGGGCTTTGAGATATTATTGTGTCTGGGAGACACAAATGATGCCCCTGCAGATGAAAATTGTTATTTTAAATTAAAAGTTGAGCATAGTAGCACATAGGTCTATGGTTCACTGAAGGAGGAGTTATCTGGAAACGTTATGCACCTCTTATGCAAGTATAAACTCCAAAAAATGACAAAGTTCAACTATTTCCCAAAAGAGCAAATATTAATAAAGATCAAAACCTTACCACATGCACACCTTCAATATATGTACAAACAGCCAGCAAAGTAAGAACTTCCTAGCATTCAAACTGTAGGAGGAGTTATCCGGAACAGCTATGCACCTCTTTATATGCAAGTATAAACTCCAAAAATGACAAAGTTCAACTATCTCCAAAAGAGCAAATATCAATAAAAATTTAAACCCTGACTACATGCACACCTTCAATATATGTACAAACAGCCAGCAAAGTGAAAAATTCCTAGCATTCAAACTGTAGGAGGAGTTATCTGGAATAGCTATATACCCATAATGGGACAGACAGACAGATGGATAAATGCATAAGTGTGAAGACCATGCATATATGGGGCAAACAGAAAATACCGGTAGATAATAGCTCTGAAAAAGTGTCACATGGAATAGCTTACAGTAATTGAAGCTTGGAATCAAAAATCAATAAAGTTCTGATTTGTAGTTGCTGATAAAATGCAACAGAAATGTGTAAGGGATGGTTGGATATGGTAAACCAGTATACACCCCTTTCCCCAGTATTTCAATGCATTGACATGGTACATTATTTTGTTCAATCCCCACTTAATAGTTATAGTATAAATAATTTTCATATTTGAATATAAAAAATAAGACAATTTGTAACAGAACGATGCAAGGATTGTACAAGTGTGCAGTTAAAGTTTAATCCATAGCAGTGTTTGGTCACAGGTGGTCTTATTTTTTATATTCAAATACTATCAGTTAGGGAGCTACCATCTGATTTTTATGGGGGGGGGCTAGGATGAAAAATTTTGTCCTGCCTCATTATTTTTCCCTCTATTTGGTCCTGCCTTTTTATTTTTCACTCTATTCGGTCCTGCCTTTTTTTTTTTAGTTTATCCTGACTTTTTTTTTTACATAAATTGTCATCCTGCCTTTTTTTTTTTGCAAATAATCTCATCCTGCCTTTTTTTTTACTCAAAACTCCTGTCCTGCCTATTTTTTTCAAATTTCATCCTAGCCCCCACCCCCATAAAAATCAAATGGTAACTCCCTTATATTCTTTATTATATAGCAACAGAATATCAAAATCTTTTTCTGTGTTACTTGCATTAGTTAGACTCACTTTATGTATAATAGCAAACTGAATATTTTAGATTACAAAAAGAATTTCAAAACATTTCAGAAAAAGTTGCAAATGGAGAAGTATTTAATGAAAATAAATATGAAGAGATAAGATTAGAAATGCAAAAATATGAAGAAAAAATATTTAAAGGTGCTATATTACGTTCAAAAGCTAACTGGGCCATAGACAGAGACAATAAAATGCTCTGCTGGGCGCAGCTTGATACAACCGCAGAGGTCGAACCCTGAACAGTTGGGGCAAGTATGGACACAACATTCAAGCTTGATACAGCACTGAATTTGGATTGTGATTAAATATTTGACACAGCATAGGTTTCTGACACAGAATGAATGTGGTCTAAGAACTTAAAAATTTTTAATTTACCTATTCAAACCATATCATTATTATTTGCTTTTATATATAAATCAGAAATAACCAATTTAAAATGGAAAATTAAAAAAAAAAAATCCCTCCCTCAAATTTTTTTAACCCCCTTATGATTCATCACCCCCAAACTCAATCCCAGCCTTTCCTTTGTGGTATGGTACCTTTCAGTACAATTTCAGAGAGATCCATACACTTGAACACAAGTTATTGTCTGGAAACTAGAAAAAGGCTTGTTTTTTGCCCCTTTTTGGCCCCTAATTCCAAAAATTTTGAGGCAATTACCCCCAAAATCAATCCCAGCCTTCCCTTTGTGGTATGGTACCTTTCAGTACAATTTCAGAGAGATCCATACACTTGAACACAAGTTATTGTCTGGAAACTAGAAAAATGCTTATTTTTGGCCCCTTATTCCTAAACGTTTTGTGTAATTACCCCTAAACTCAATTCCAGCTTTCCCTTTGTGATATGAAACCTTGTAGTACAATTTCAGAAAGATCCATACACTTACACACAAGTTATTATCATGAAACTAAAATAATGCTTGTTTTTTTGCCCCTAATTCCTAAAATTTTGAGGCAATTACCCCCAAAATCAATCCAAGCTTTCCCTTTGTGATATGGAACCTTGTGGTACAATGTCAGAGAGATCCATACACTAACACACAAGTTAAGTCTGGAAGTTACAAAAATGCTTATTTTTGGCCCCTTTTTGGCCCCTAATTCCTTAACTGTTGGTACCATAACCCCCAAAATCAATCCCAACCTTCCTTTTGTGGACGTATAAAAATTCAGTGTATTATTTACAATTAGTAAAACATAGGCAGGAAAATAATTGTATTAAAGAATTAAAAGATAAAAAAGGGATAATAATATCAAAGACTGATAAAATTTTTGATGAAATCAATCAATATTATAAAACTTTGTTTTCGTGTACAAATATTGATGAAATGAAATTGAATGAACTATTGAGTTTTATCTCAAAAACAATTTCTGAAAATCATCAAAATTATTTAGATTCTGAAATTACTTCAGAAGAAATTTTTAAATCTTTAAATGGTATGAATAGAAACAAAAGTCCAGGTGGTGATGGCATTACTGTTTCTTTTTATCTAAATTTTTTTCATCATTTTGGAGAAATTTTTAAAAAAGTTTTTGATGATATTGAAAAAGAGAGTATTATGTCCAGATCTATGAGACATGGAACTATTACTTTAATTTTTTAAAATAAAGGAGACAAAATTCTAAGACCAATATCTCTTTTGGCTGTTGATTATAAAATTCTAGCCCGAGTCATGGCAAACAGGTTGAAAATTGTTTTACCATTTATAATTTCTGAATTTCAATCGTGTTGTGTCAGCAGACGTGATATTGCAGATACTACTGCAAGCATCGTGATATTATTGATATAATTGAACAGGAGAATTTTGAAGGATATTTATTAAAAATAGATCAACAAAATGTGTTTGATCATGTTGACCGTAAATATTTATTTAGTGTTTTAGAAAAATTTGGATTTGGAGATAAATTCATAAATTGGATAAAAATATTTTATACAGAAATTTTCAGTACAGTAAAATGTAACAGTTTTTTGACAAAATATGTACCGCTTTGTAATTAAATAAAACAAGGATGCCCAATGTCAGCAATTTTATATGTTATGGCCACTGAACCTCTTGGACAAGCTCTTATTAAAAAATAATAATATTCATGGTATCAAAATTTCATTTTCCGTAAAAGAATCTAAATATTTTGCTCATGCTGATGATACAACTTTAACAGTTGCAGATAAAAACTCGGTGACAGAAGCTTTTAAAATTTTTGATTTGTATAGTCAAGCATCTGGAGCTAAAATTAATAGAGAAACATCTGAAATCTTGTGTCTAGGTTCTGCTAAAATATCTCAAAAAGAGTTAGAACAATTTGGTAGTAAACTATGTGAAAATGCTACTGAATTATTAGGAATTTATACTGGCAAGGATAAACAGTTATGTGAGTCACTAAATTGGGACGAAAAAATTAAGAAAATAAAAACAATTTTATATTTTCGGTCTAAAAGAGAGCTGACCCTACCAGGAATGGCTACTGTTTTCTCTACTTTGATAATGTCAAGATTATATTATACCTTAACAGTATGTCCTCTTCCGGAAAAAATTAAAAAAGAAATTCGTTTAATTGCTCTCAAATTTTTATGGAACAGGAAAACACATTTAGTAAAATTCCAGTCTATAGTTGGTAAAAAGATACAAGGTGGTTTGAATTAACCAGAGATTTTTCTTAAATTGCAGTCATTTCGATTGAAATTCCTCAGGAAATTTTTAAATTCAGATTGCGAAGCTCATTGGAAAAATACTTTTGAACATTTCATTTCAAAAATAGAACACATGAATTTCGGTAAAAATATTTTTTATATTGTTTTGAATTCAAAACAATTGAATTACTTACCATTATTTTAATAAAGAAATGCTACAAGCTTTTTATAGAATAAAATCCAGAATTGAATTCAACATTGAGATACAACATGTGTATGCAAATCTGCTTTTCTGTAATCTGTATATTAAGCATAATGGCAAATCTTTGCTTTTTTCTGAATTCATAGATGCCGGTATTACACAAATAAAACACATTTGCTATGGAGTTATTCCTGGATTTTTATCACAGATAGCTGTTTGTGAAATACTCCAAGAAAAATTTCCAACAATCAGCACATCAAACATTGAAAATGTGTATAAAAAAATCAAACAAAGTATTCCTGATGATTGGCATGAACTATTAAAATCACCAAATCCTATCAATACAGATACATTGCCGGATATATATATCAAAGGCGGAATTAGTACAATACATTTTCAGAGCGCATTAACAAAAACATTTTATGACATTCTGCTGACCCGCCTTTTTTGAATCGCCTACATCTGAAAAATTCTGGTTGAATAAATTTCCCAAGTTAAAAATATCCTCGGTCTACTCGATAGTTCACCTTCCTTTTCTTGCACCTGATATTCATTGTTTAAATTATCGACTCGCAATGAACAGTATTTTTACGATGGAAAAACTATACAAAATCAATAAGACTGACAGTGATACTTGTCTCCTATGCAGTTTAATGAGTGAGAAGTTAGAATCTGTTTTTAAGATGTGACACAGTTCAAGGTCTCCATGTACTCTTGTCAGATATGTTACAAAATAATCTTATAAATAGCACATCGCCACACATAACTGACATACCTGACTACACACAATTGATTTTATTGGGTTGGCCGTTTACAAAACAAAGACTCGCCTATCAACTTTTATCGGATAAATTTTATGTTAGGTGTAGCACGACTTTCAAATTATAAAAGACAAAGTAAAAGTACTTGAAAACAAGCATTCTGTGAGTATTGCATGGCAATACATAGTCCCCTACCGGTTAAAAAAAGTTTTTTGGGGGTAAAAGGAGGGGGGTTCAAACAACAATTCAATAATTCATCAATTATTTGGTTTTCATCCCTTCATTAGCTTTAAAACTTGGCACTGGCTCACAGTGAAGAAAATATAAGCCATGATATAATCTCCGAGGTTCATGTAAGCTAGCATTGAAAAACATTGCAATATTGGCCTCAAGATTCCTTAATTAAGAGCTGTTTTTTTTTGGTTGGTTTCTAGCACATTGGTGTATACACCACTTATCTTTTTATCATTCTAATATACAAACAAAGACCATGAATACCATTGTGTTTCAAAACTGTTTGAGAAACATACACTGTCACAGTAAAATACGTCTTCTTCATTCCAAATTCTAAGAAATCAGGGCAAGTAACTTTTCTTCTGGACAAGTAAAATTTACAATTTCACTTGCCCGGGGACAAGTGGTCACAACAAATATTTCCACACCCCTGAATAGTAATACTGTTATGTTAAAAAAAAGGGGAAATATGAAAATGAACACTGAAATGGCGATAAAAAATCTCCAGTTATGATGCCCAAACTCCAGCTGAAAATTTTCAAATCTCCAGTTGTGACTTGACAACTCTGTCACATGTATGTGTATTGTCAATTTCATTGTATTTTTTTCGGTGTATGAATAAATGTGTATTGTATGAAGTTGTCAAAATGGCACATCATCACTTCATGAAGATTGATGCAGATTTTGAAATTATTGTGAAGCAAGAAGTTGTTTAAAATGCATCCAGACTATGGATTGTTGATATGCATTACACTGAATCATTAGTTTTACATGCCAAGTCCCAAAGTTTCAGTTAGAAGTCTCAAATGAGGGTCCAGTAAAAGGTGGGGAAAGTTTCAAGAGTAACAATAAACGAGTTATTTCACATGTATGATCATCAGAATTTATCACAATAAGAAATTCATAAAAATCACCATCATCTATATAATTATCCCTTTAATTTGGATGCTTTTCTAATTACCTTTTCCATAATTAACCATCAATATTTTGTCACAATCTTTGAACATTTTTCCTTGTACTGGATTCTCTGTCATTGAGTTCAGATCAATCAAGTGAAGGTCATGCGGTTTGTTGTCTTTGGTAAAGCACATTATTGCCTTACTGTCATTAAGGAACAGCACACTCTGTGACCTTGCCTGAAAGATTCAATATAAATGAAAAAAATCGGTCATGTTATCCTTGTTTGGAAGGTTATTCAAAGTTTACCTATTTTGGTCATGTGACTCCATGATTTGACAAGCTAATAATCACACATAATTGTTACTAACAATACATAGGGAACATGTTGAAATATCCTGGTCAAGGCACCAAAATTTGTTGACATAAAAGAATAAGTCACCAATACTTTGGGTTGTGTTACTTTATGATCAAATCTTTAACTCTGGCACCCATACAAAAGTACAAAGTAACATCACAAAAATAAAACATAAAATACGGGAAATATAAATTGATAATGTTGTTAATTTGCACTAGAGTCTCAACAAACAAAGCACATATTGATATCATGGTCCATAATATTTATGATCTGTTTATATTTACAAGCTCAAGTATTCAAGCTGTAGTAAAGGAGACTTTAAACATAGTCATGTCCAATTCTTAGTTCAAGCTTTGCAAATTACAAACTAAGTCAGTCTTCACAATATGACCTCTTATAATATGGCTTGACTGATTGTTGACAGTTTAATTTTGCATAAGCAAACATGGGCGGTGTCTTGGCAAAAGTTTGTTTATATCAAAACAGTATAATGATTACCTCAGTTTCTGCCTGAGACACAATTTTCTTCTCAACTGTATCAACCACCATTATTCTGTTCTTTTTATCCTTGCCAACAGATGACATCATGAGAGCATACCTCTCATTTGCTAAAAGCTTAAAAAACCTTTAAAAGAGAATAAATCATTTTCTTGTAAACAGTTGTTGCTGAATGCTAGTCAAAGTTTTTTTTCTAGTGGTATGCCTTTTCAGAATTAAGAGGATTGTAGATTAATTCATTAATTGTACACAGATAGAAAGAAACATTTCACCATTGGTTGTACTTTAATTGTCAGTGAAATTGTTCACCAATCACAACATTTTCCCAGAATGCATTAGAATTTTGAAAAAAAACTTATCTGAACTTTAATATTCAATGCAATATTTTTGCAATTATCATTAGCAAGTATGGAAACAATAAAATCATGATTCAAAAAGTTTGTCTGGATCGTAGCTATAATAAGATTTGGGGTCAATGTCAGCATTTATTCCTTATTTCTGAATTTGCATGCTAATCTATAATGAATCAAATTGCCCAGATGAATTACCTAAAATAGCCCTACCATTAACTTTTTACACAGAAATATTGAACAAAAGTAAAAATTCTAAGTTAAGGTGGTTGGGGTGTCTTCCTCCATCTTGGATTTTGAAATAGCAGATATTATTAACAATTGGTCTAGATCTTTAATGAAATGTGCAAATTTTGAGAGTAGCATGCAATTCATGTGTAAGACTTTTCATGTTAATATAGAAAATTATGTGTTTTATCATATTTACGGCTGTATTTTACAAAAAACACAATATTTTTGTTTGATCTATTTTTTTCAACTTTGCCACATAAGGGGAGATAACTCAGATAAAGTAATTTTTATAATAGGAAGTGTTGCGAATTTACCTATTTTAATACGTGTATGTAGAAAGAAAACAAGTCTGGTGACCCCATTTTCTTTTTCTTATCTGAAAGCATGTTATAAGAGCTATATCTTCTCACATTTTATCTTAAAATTCTATGGTGTAATTTTCTTTTTATCACACAAAATTGGATTTTCCATGCATAATCTATACAAAATCTGACAATTTTGCACAACCTGCAGTGTAAAAAAAAGTCCAGTGACCCATACGTTTTATTATATTTTGGAAAAAAGCATGATGAAAACTACATTTTGACAAATTATTAAAAAATTCTATGGATTTTAATTAAAGACCCCACATCCACCTTAACTCAAGTACATGTATACTTTCATAGTCCTTGAAGAAAATTGAACACAAATTTACCCTGATGTGTCGAAGTAATAGGAATTTTGGAAGAAAAAAAAACAATTTCACTTCGAAATAATGAATCGAATATTGATATCGTAATTTTTAATTGTGCAACATAAATAAATTTCCTTATTACTTCTAGGTCAACAGATTTGTGTAACTATCAGACTGGCATGCTACACTTATTGTTTGTTGAAAACTTTGAAAATATTTGACCATGCGGAAAATTATGTTTATGGAACACATTTTACCTGAGATAATTACGAACGGAATTAATAAACCCAAGCCGAGAAATTTATCAAACTTCTTTAAACTGATCAAACTTTTTTTAAAGACTTGACCTCAGCAGATAGCCGCTAAGGAGAAAGTTGAAACATTATATATCTGTAACAATTTGTTTTGTTTCGCAAGTACTTCCGTATTTTATATTACCTTATCTTTGTAAACATCAGATCAGAACTGTCTATTCTGTCCTTGTTTCTTGTATTTTTTTAATACTGCATGTACTGTTGATTTATATGAATTGGGATATCAAATACGTTTTCTGTCATTACATCTCAGGCTGACAACACCAGGTACAATATTGAATTGGTATAACGTGATGAATTGCGACCTCAAATAGTTGTCAGGTCCTACTACTTCCACTTATCATGATTTGATTGTATAGTAAAATTCAACATGAAAAAGGTTCTTTAGCAAAGTCCTAATAAAAAATTCCCACAGAGGGAGACCTTCAACTTTTGAGGTATGAATCTGATTGATGCCATGAAAACCAATATGTTAACAGTAATTTATTATTTTACAAAACTTACTGTACAGATGCACCAAAATCTGATAGTTTCTCTTCTGAAAATGTTGTTTTGGAAGTATCCCAAACTCTTAGAACACTATCATCAGAAACAGTGACAAAAGTTGTCGCATCATTTGACACACAGCAGTCTATCTGATTGCTATGCTGCAAAACTTTTTGCCTGTTTCCAGTTTCCAGATCTATCACAACAATAGTCTTGCTCGACTCTCCATACATCTTTTTGCCATCAACAGAGAACTTGTATTTCTGAATTGCATCTGAGTCATCACCTAAGTATCAAAAGTAATCACGATTAGCCTTTATTGTTAAAGGGGCACTAGCTGTCAAATTCATGTTAACCGATTTGACTCAAATTCTCATATTTGATTTATAACAATGTAAAACATTTATCCAAAGTATAAAAAGTCTAAAATAAACAATTTACAGGGTATGGGCTCCTGAATATGTAACTTCGTTTCGTGTGTATTTTAGTCTAGACGCCATCTAATTAACTATCGATATAAACATAAATATAGATATAAATATAAATATAGATATAAATAGAAAGTGGACTCGTGCAGTTGGATTTTTCTAGGTCTGTTTAATTTCATATTATAGATTGAAAATATATGTTAATCATCGTTTTTACCTGTATAAGAATGATGTTTTATTGATCGAATCAGTCAATCAAATGATTTACCTTTGTTTCACTTTCAATGTTGACATTCTTTTCCTTTAGATAACTTAACACTTACAATGCATGCGTTATCAATCTCTAGCTAAGGGGTTAAATTGAATTTCACATGAATACAGATTCAACGAGGTCGAATTATTCACTTGCAAGTGAATAATTCATCATCAATGTTTCTTTGCTTATTTTGACAAAATTGAACCATATTGGCCGCTAAAAGCGAATTATTATTTCACTATTTTACTTTCATTAATGATTAAACAAAAATAATTCATATTTTAAATTTTTATATATGTGTAGCTAATGCCCCTTTAAGCATACTTGAAATAAAATGCTCCTCATGGCACAGCTTGATTCAACCGCAGAGGTCAAACCCTAAAAAGTTGGGGCAAGTTTGGACACAACATTCAAGCTTGATGGATTGTGATTAAATATTACACACAGCAAAGGTTTTCTAACACAGAATCAATGTGGTCTAAGAACTTAAAATTTTGAAAATGGACGTTTACCTATTATGGTCGAATATCTAAAATCTAAATACATGGTTAGATTCAGCATATCAAAGACACCAAGAATTCCATTTTCCATTCCAATTTGATTTGAATTAAACCCCATTGAATTTGGTCAAGACATAAGCAAGTTATATAAAAGTATTGTTTATGGCCCCTTTTTGGTCATTAATTCCTAAACAGTTTGGGCCATAACCCTCAAAATCAATCTTTTTGAGGTATGGAACCTTGTGGTACAATTTCATAGAGATCCAAACACTTATACAAAAATCATTGTCCAGAAACAAAAAAATGCTTGTTTTTGACCCTTAATTCCAAAACAGTTACGACAATAACCCCAAAAATTAATCCCAATATTCTTTTTGTGGTAAGGAACCTTGTGGTACAATTTCATAGAGATCTATGCACTAATACTAAAGTTATTGTCTGGAAGCCAAATGTCTTAGGACGACGACAACGCCATACCATTATTAGGCCTCAAATTTTAGGGTTGTATAAAGACACTGTTGAAATACTACTACTAGGGGGGCGGGTATTTAACAATCTTGACTGCCTATGAGGGTCTAGCTTGGTCGGTCATCATGTGGTAATGGGGAAAGTTTTTAAATCAAACAAGTGATATTTTCTACCCATTTTTGTTACTCATTATAAATATTATTGCAAGAAAAGCAAAGCTATCAATACAAGTAGGTCAAGTGCATAAAATTAAAAGTTTACCAGGGTTCAAGCCAATGCTTTTTTTAATAAATGTTAGCAGATGGAAAACAATCTCTTGTAAAGTACTTAGTTGCCCTAAATCAAGCAACTACAAGTTCTTTATGTTTAAATCTTTTTTAAAATAACTTTTATAAAAATCTTATAAGAACCGATTTTCAGGTTGTCTGCATATTGATATTGTAAAATATCAGCTGCGAGTCACAATATGAAGTTTCTTTGTCGAGTGAGCAAAGCCAAGTTCAAAACGGCTTCATATTGTGTCGAGCAGCAGATATTTTACAATATCAATATGCAGACAACCAAATGATCGAGTTATCGAGTTGTATTTGCGTATTTTGCATGATAGAAACAAGTGTTTTCTTTGTTTCACAAGCGAACCGTAAGATGCCTTGATAAGTTTGAGTCAAACTTATCAACGTCGGTTCATATATTATGACATCGCTGATATGTCCGGATCAAAGTTATTAAGGCCGGGTGAAGTATTTGACGTCACAAAGCCGTGATATGCAATTTTATTTAGAGCTGAGCAGAGTGATATAGGCAGAGGGACAACTGATTAGAACTGTGATCATTTCATTTACCTACCCATTAATTTTCTACAAATTTCAAAAGTCTTGATATCAAACAGGTAAGGCACATTATCATACATATTTGATGCCACAATGCATTTCCCATCTCTTGTAACAGCAGAAGCATCTATGGTCAAATCGTCTGGATCTTCATCAGCAATTGCAGGAGTTGGTGGAAATCTGATTCTGGGTGAGCAGTAGGCTTGCCTTTTTTCTAAATCAACGACCCATATACCAGTATCATCATCATTAGTACAAACAGCGTAATTATCAGAACCTGAAAAGTTTTTTGAAAATAAAAGAAAATCAATGTTATATTCAGATTTATTATATACTTAGTAGTAAATACAGATAAACTGTATGTGTAATACTGTTAATGGCAATCGTGCTGTATCAGCCATCCGTGATGATATCGATATCAGCCATGGTTGCAAAGGCTTTATTACACCTTTAATCTGTGTGACGTCATGCCATCAATATCAATCACTGTTGCAAAGGCTTTATCAAACCCCTAATCTGTATAATGTCATGTCACATAAAAAACATCTACTTGAGGTATAAAATAAAGTGTATATGATATGGCTTTTTCAATATCACACACCGTATCAACCCTTAACCAATATAATCCCTCGAGCAGAGCTCTTGAGATTATATTGGTGTCTCAGTTTGATCGGATGTGATATTGAAAAAGCCATATGATATTCTCTATTTATTACATGTATAATAAGCAGTCGCCCAAAGAGCTTGTGATTCAGTAGTTGTTAATGGTCGCAGTCTGCCATATTTGTTTTTCTTTTATTGTTTCAGCTTTAATCAGATGCTTGGTTTTCACGTTTTAATTGTTTCATATTTTGTCATGCTGGGACCTTTTATAGCTTACTATACAGTATGAGTTTTCCTCTGTGTTGAAGGTCTTATTTGTTAATTATTAAAGTCAACTTAGTCTTTTTCCCTACTTCCTTTTATAAATATTGCTTGTTTGATGATTAGCAGAAAATACCAAGTTTGAATACATACTGAGGGTGAGGATGGGGTTAACAGAATAGAGAATAATGGTAAAAAAAATATAAAGAAAAGAGAAAAATGGAACAAAAAAATAAAGAATAATGAGGTGCTAAAATATAAAGAATAGAGAATAATGGGCAAAAATTATAAAGAACAGAGAAAAACGGCCTAAAAAATTAAAGAAAACAAAAATGAAGGACCCCCAATCCAGAACCTCAATATTGATAACACAAATTAAGCTTACCTGAAGCAAATAATCCAAATGACACTTTCAATTTGGACTTGTCTCCATCCATCAGGCCATCTTTTGGATTAATCACACTAGTTTTCTCACCAGTTTTCATGTCATAGAGATGGACTACTTTAGTCTTCATAAATCCTACAAGTACTTCTTTATTTTTACCACAAACACAGAAAGAATTCATGGCAGCATGAGAAAATGTGTATTTTTTCTCTCCTAATTCAGTAACTGCTACCAAAAATTTACTTGAATAAATCAGAATAAGAGAATCGTCTGCCACAAAATGCACTTCACTGGGATCCTTAACAATCCTCTCCATGATGCGGATTACTTTACCTTCCTGAACATCCCACAGGCCTAATGAGTGGTCATCACATGCTGAAATTACAAAATTACATAGATTATATTTTTGTCAAAAAAGTGACATGGTTGAATGAAATATAATTAGAAGTACATTTACTGATATTGTTTTGTCAAAAGCATAAGAAAGCACATATATTATCAACACCATAGTACTTTGAAATTCCATCTATTGACTAAAAGGATGCTAAACAATGTATTTTCAGAAGTCCCTTATATAAAGAATAATGACATTTTTGTTTTTGATACTGACTTTATCAGCAAGAATATCAAGCGAGCTGGCTAGAGCGATGTGATATTTGAGCTGATAAAGTCAGTATAAAACAAGATGTGTCAAAACGACACAAATGGCCCTGTCTCAAAAAATTGAAAAACCTGCAATTTCAACAACACATGTGGACACAAACATGCATGAATAGTATCCAGCTCTCAAGACCAATACAAGTTTGATGAAAAATTTCCTTGATCAATGAGTAGTTAAATTTCAAACTATCAGCAAACAGGAAGTGGATGTACTGCAGATCTAACATAAGATGTGTAGAAACGACATGAAAATCAGCATAGCGGAACTAAACATAAACTTGATCTGTAACTCATTATGGTAGACTCACATATCAAAAACTAGCGCAAAAACTGAAGACTTATAGAAAAAAAGTATGTATAACTGTGATTTTCAACAAGTCCAAAACCCGTAATTTCGGCAAAAATCAGAAACAGCAGAGTAGAACGAACCTTATTTATTTACATTAATAAATTGTGACGTAGATGGTCATGTTGCACTGATACCTAACGGGATTGCCTAGATTTGAGTATCAAGTCCTGTCCATAATACGAAAAAATATTCAAGATTCAAGGAAAAATGTACAAAATGCTGATAAAAGATGTGTACAAGCTTTAGATTATTTTAGGAAGATCAAGCTGTCCCAAATTTAAGTTGTAACCAAAGGGCCCTGTACTGATAAGAAATTAAATATGGTATCATGGGTAAGTATATCCTTTTCTCAAATTTCATGCATAAGTGATAAATTTCCAATTAATTTATTAAAGGTGTTCATTTATGTGAAGAAATTGTATTTCCAGACAGTCATAAATTGATAACTTACCATGCCTGTCAGGATAAAATGAGGAAAAGTACTCAACAACAGTAAGAAAATTGATAAATATAAAATGAAATACACTTATGGAGCTAAAATCAATAGCTTTCATTTGCATTTGCACATTACCCTGTTGATGGAGGCTGCCATGTTGCAAAGCATACAATTTCAAATGACTCTTCATATCTGATTACCAAAAATTATCATTAAAATAATGACATCAACCACTTTCACATGAAACACCTGCCTCATTTAATGTATTTTTAGATATTGACTGGACCATACTTTCAAATTGGTAGGTTGGTTTAATGGGATACCCAACACTTTGACCACAATAGATTTGACTTGATTAAAAGTTATAAAATTTTGACAAAATATTTTTTTTGATCAGCTGTTGACAAAATTTCAAAATCTCAAGAAAATTGAACCACACAATTTACAGGAATAATTTCATTGGGTATATAGCAGTTAGACAGACACTAATTTTGATCATTGAGTAACTGGATTTTGGTTTACAAATAGTTAGTGATTTAAACGTTCGGCTGATTTTTAAAGGGTTAACTCCTTTACTTGTTCTGTACCTCCTTAAGATCCAAGTATTTATAATTTTAGGGGCAAAAATTCTTAGTGTATCCCAAGGGTAGAATACAGTAGCAAAACTGAAAACCATGGGACAGTATATTGATGAAAAAATATTGATTGATGCCTGAAAGACAACAAATGAACTATCAATCCTGTGAAAGAAGGTCTACTAGGATAAAGGCAGGAATTTTGACTTCCCCTGGAAAAATAGGGTACTACAGATAGGGGAAGAAGTTTTGCCTTGCATCAGGACACCTACAGATCCATAGTAGAGTTTTTGCAGGTGTTCTTTTATATGCAGAGTTTGTTGCACTGTCCCCACAGAGGGCATCAGATTTTACATCAATGAAAAATAAGTAAGACGTCAGAATTCTTATCACAAATGGAAAGTAACATCAAGTAAAATATGTAGAGAATGTAAAGTATGAAATCTCACAAGCAGTGACAGCTATCTTTCCATCTTTCTTCATGTCCACCCAATCAACTTGAGATTTATGTCCTCCTAGTGCATAAACCAATGGTCCTCCAACCTTCACTAATAGACCAGTGTCAGGACACAAATACGTCTCATCTGTCTCTTTACATGTATTGGTAAAAGTCTGCAATTCCTAAAAATAAAATCAAACTGGGTTTTTACAATACTGGTAATACATTTACTTTTGCTATGTTTGAAAAGAAATGTGTCTTATAGTATCTGAAAAAAAGACTTAACAAGGAAAACTTAACACTTGACCAATGAACCATAAATATTAGGTCAAGGTCAGATGAACCCTGCCAGACAGATATGCACACTTTACAATCATTCTATGCACCAAAAAAATAGCTGACCTATTGTTTATAGTATCTGAGAAAAAGATCAAAACACAAAAACTTATTGCTTATAGTATCTGAGAAACAGACCATAACACAAAAACTTAACATCAACCAACGAACCATGAAAATGAAGTCAAGGTGTACTAAAAATCTACCAGTCTGACATGTTCACCTTACAATCAATCCATACACCAAATAAAGTTCACCTACTGCTTATTGTATTAGAGAAAAGGACCTAATCATGATCTTTAACCTTGATCACTGATCCACAAAATCAGGCTGAGGTCAGATGAGTCCTGTCTGACAGAGGTGTAGACCTTGCAAGGAATCCATAGACCAGATATCATAATCCTATTACTCCTAATAAGTGAGAAATTCACATGACAAATAAACTGCAGTTTATTTTGAGCAGTCAATGAACCATGAAAATGAGGTCAGGACATTGGCCATACGATAAACAGAAACCTTTTAACATATGGCATCTATATACATGGTATGAAGCATCCAGGTCTTTTACCTTCTGAAATATAAAGCTTTATACAAGTCTTAGTTTACACCTCCACTGCCAGATTGTAATCCCAAAGTCTCCCATACTGCAATTTTTGTTGCAGACTAGACAAAATTGAGGCCCATCATAGGGGTGTTCAAGTAATTACATAATCACAAATTTTTTGCCCATATAATTACATAATCATTAATTATTTTTTTAAACATGATAATCAAATAATCAAAAATACAGTCCTAGATTATCAAATAATCGAATAATCATGAAATATTTGGTCTGGTAATCAAACAATCACTATAAAAACTGACAAGTAATTCCATTCTCAATTTTACATAATCAAAAACCCCATGAGGAGGCTAAAAATTCTAAAATCAGTTTTCTTTAAAGTCCAGTCGCAAATTAATATGCTTATTAAGGACAAGAACATGTTAATGCAATATATATATATATGAACCCTGCTTTGTACTAACATGAGTTTTAACATGCTGGTTCACATGGTTACAGTCAGCAAGTAGACATGTCACCTTACCAAAGAAACAACACTCTGACAGAATCTTGTGAGGAACATCTTTATCTTTAAAGGAACATCTCTGTCTTCTTGAGAACATCTCAGCCAAGTTTTTCTTTCCATATGATATGAAGACAAATGAAGTTTGCCAAGTCATTGCAAAACTTCTCTGAGTGGGCTTTAATAATCTGTTTGTTTACTTGTTTTGTAAGCACTATTTCAATAATACTTATTCAGCATTTCCTTTTATCAGAGTTAAAAAGTTTTTACTCACAGTAAGGGCTATCCCATTAAAATGTATGTGGGAGGGTAGGAAGGGGTGTTTAATTATTGAATGTGGGTCATGGGTCTTTTTTCAGAATGCGTCTATTACCATTATGCAAAATTATCTAAAAAATGGTTCTTGGTTGTAGGGATATTTTGAAAGTCCCTTCCTATCCTCCCACCTACATTTTAATGGAATAGCCCTAACAATGGTGAAATTTATTTCCCTTTGAAGAAATCAAAAGCTGCATACACTAAAACTATTATAATTAGAAATTTGCCCCCTAAATGTATAATAAGGCAATGATGTACAACTTGACTTTCATTTGAGTAAAAAATATTTTCCCAAAAAATTTAAATTGGCTGCTGCAAGCAAGCGTTGCTTTGGGAATAGTTAAGTGTGTGTGCATAAAACAAAAGCCCTGCTAATTAAGCGCTGATTGGTAAATTCAAAATTAGCTAAAAATCTCATTGGTTAATTAATATGATTTCGAAAAACAACAAGAAATGATTGTAACAGGATGCTGTTACGAAGTCTCCCAAACGAAGCTCCCATAATTCGTAATTCCCAGGGTCGCCTGACATTGGGCAAAGTCCAGTGAAAATTGGTTTGGTCCAGTAAAGTTATATGCATTAGTGATGCCTGGGGACTAACCCTGTATATCATTCAAATCATCTTGGCACGACAAACCAGAATATATATGGTTTAGGGGTGGGGATCTCGACCATTTACAAGATATTAGAACTTTCTCAAATGGCAGGGGGTCGGGATGACCCCTGGGGACTAACCCTGTATATCATTCAAACCATCTTAGCATGACAAACCAGAATATATATGGTTTAGGGGTGGGGATCTTGACCACTTACAAGGTATTAGAACTTTCTTAAATGGCAGGGGGTGGGGGCGACCCCCTGGGGACTAACCCTGTATTTCATTTAATGGGTTTTATCAGTTAGAACATTTTCAATTAAAAAGATTGTGTCTATCACAAACGGTTTTCAATTTATAATCATTTGAAAGTTTTAAAAAATAAAATCCCATAGGGTTCTATAGTAAAACCCTCTTTTCTTTTTGCCCCTCAAAGTACCCCTTTATAAACCCCATTGCACAAACAAAACCCTGATTGCACCACTAGACATGTTAGTCTAACATATTGTGAAACCCTAAGTTAATCTGACAAGCGGTTTTGGAGAACGGGTGCGGACAAGTTCAAATTTAAAAGCGGCGGAAGAGGAAGAAGAAGAAGAAGAAGAAGAAGAAGAAGAAGAAGAAGAAGAATAATAAGAACTGAGCAAAAACAATAAGTCTTCCCAAACTTCGTTTGGAAGACTTAATTAGTAAACGAGAAGCAGATGCAGCAGTGACTAGGAAACCCCATTGCTGATTGGATAAAAACTTAGACACTTGAGGGTTCCCAAGTAACTTCTGCTCAGCATTCTAACATGTATTATGTATTAATACTCTATTTAAATAAAATAGTTCCAACACTATCTATTGGTCATAGATATTGTATATCTTTTATAATATCGAGGATTCATTATTGTTATCTGTTAGATACCAATTTTAGAGGATTTAAGGTGGTACCAAACACCTTGACTAAAATTAATTTGGCTTGTTTAATTTTCATTAAATTTTGACAAAATATTTACTTTGACCCTTTGACAAAAATATAAAAATTTCAAATCGAAGGTCGGTGGTTTTCTCCGGGCACTCCGGCTTCCTCCACCAATAAAAACTGGCCGCCACGAAATAGCCCAAAAAACAGTGCTTAAAAGTGGCGTTAAAACACCAAAAATAAATAAATAAATAAAAATTTCAAAAAACTTGAACCACACACTTTATCGGAAAAATTTCATTGGTTATATAGCAGTTTGACAAACACTAATTTTGATCATTGAGAAGCTTAATATTTCCCTACCAATAGAACGTGATTAAAACGTTCAGCTGATTTTTACAGAGTTATCTCCCTGTAGTGTTATGTACCACCTTAATGGATATAGGTAAACCACAAATCTAAATGTTAACTCTGAAATAACAAATTTTCTTTTAGCTTGTATGCAGACTTTGACAAAACTACAAAATTAAACATTTACAAAAATAAATATTTCCCTCCATTCCAGAAAATTGGTATCCTCAAAGAAATAAATCGATCCATAGTACATGAATATTTTGCATGAAACAAATTGGATAAATATTTTACCTTGACATCCTTGAGTCTTAAGAACATCTGTGGTGCAAACTGTTTTGAATTGAACAGAATAGAATCCCCTGATAGAAGGAAAGCTTGTAGAATCATATTTAACTGTGAATCATTGATCATCTGTTTGGCAATCTCATAATCTTCCATCACTGATCTAAATAATAGAAATAATTTTATTTCTTAAATATCAACTGCTGCTTCTATAGCATTAGTGAAACACATTCTAACATTTAGCTCTGTTCCAGAATAATATGGGGCGTAGGGATGTTCGGAAGGCACTTTTTATTTACACCGCAATGGGTAAAATTTTAATCCAATCTTTCTTAAATAATCAGTACTCATCAACTATTTATAAAAGTTACCTTTACCACACATACAACACAAAAACAGCCCTAAAACATTATATCTATATCTTGAAACTCATCATTGCTCAGTGAAAATTGGTAAAAAAAAAAACAATGTGCAAGCTATTTTTTTTTATTAAGCAATCATTGTGAAATGGCTATTTAATTTCCCGTTTGTCCATGCACATACCTCCTTTACAACCCTGATGCAATATTTCATAAATGCAAGTAGTGCAAAAATTCACTTAATTTTCAGTGTTTAGGAAATTACAAAATTTTTCAAAGTTAAAATTCTTTGATCAGTTTTCTATAGATTTAGTCTTATATATGTTTGTTTACCTCACAGAAGAGCATTCTAGCTTTGCATTTATAAATGGTAAGTTCATCAAACATTCATCCTTCAACTGTGCAACATTTTTTGACATAGAAAGGTGGTATGGAAGGTTGTTCAGCTTCCTTAAATTGTATGTATCACCAAATTTAATTGGCTGAGCCACAACATGTCTGTCAGCTAATCCATTCTCATCACTTCTGTTCACATATGGCTTTTTATTCCCTGATTATGAAAAATAATAAACAGGTAAGCAATATTAAAAAAAATGTGCTTTGTTCATACCATATAAACTCAATATCAAAAAATAATTTATTAAAGAAAAATGAAACTTAAATAAGTCGACCCACTTTAAATATTTCAACCATTAAAATGTCCCAATAACTCAAAATCTAACAAGATTGTTTCACTGTAGCCAGATCCCTTCTATCTGTATAAATGAGGAATAAAACTTTATTTACAGTGTAGAGTTTTACAAAAGAACATTACATTTTAAAGTGTATTTCTAAATTTTGTATTTTTTCCTGTTATTCTTGTCATCATAAGGTAAATGTTGTGTCATCATTGATTTAGCCAATTATGGTGTTATTGTGTTACAGAAGTCAAAAAATGGTGGAAGTACTATATTTTCTGTAAAATTGTCAAATCAAAATAAAGGTAAAATTATGATTAAATACACATGATGGCAAACAATCCCACCAAGTATAAGAGCTTTTGTCATATGGTGTTGAACAAATAGTACTTTTAAAACAACAGTCCAATAAACTGCTTCGCCGAGCGCAGCTGGATACGCCCGCAGAGGTCCAACCCTGAACAGTTGGGGCAAAAATGGACACAATATTCAAGCTTGATATAGGTCTATTATAGGTTTCTGAATAAATGTAGTTAAAGAACTTGAAATTGATTATATGAATTGAATTTATATTCAATTAAAAGATTTCTTGCTGTTGTGCAATACACTGTGCTGTTGCGCAATACTTAGTAAATCTCTTGTCAGACTATAAACAAATAAAGTTCTATTTCTTCTCAATGTCATATTTGAAATTCATGAAAATCAAAAGGGAGATTACATCAATAGCTATAAATAATTCACCAAAGTTTCATGAGAACTGCTGAAAGCATTTTTGAGTTATTGTTCAAAAACTGGAAAATCCCCCCTTTTTTAATGAATAAAACCCCATAACTCAGAAATGTAAAATCTAAAATTTATAAAATTCTAAAGGGAGCTTACATCAACAGATATAAACAATTCACCAAAGTTTCATGAGAACTGCTGAAAGCATTTTTTAGTTATTGTCTGAAAACTGGAAATTCACCCTTTTTTTATGAATAAAACCCTGTAACTCGGAAATGTTAAATCTAAAATTTATAAAAATCCAAAAGGGAGCTCATGTCAATAGATATAAACAATTCACCAAAATTTCTTGCAAGTTGGTGAAAGCATTCTTGAGTTATTGTTGGAAAACTGGAAAATCCCCCCTTTTTTTAAAGAATAAAACCCCAAAACTCAAAAACAGTACATCTGAAATTTATAAAAAACGAAAAGGAGCTCACGTCAATAGATATAAACAATTCACCAAAATTTCTTGCAAGTTGGTGAAAGCATTCTTGAGTTATTGTCGGAAAAGTGGAAAATCCCCCCTTTTTTAATGAATAAAACCTCAAAACTCGTAAACGGTAAATCTGAAATTTATAAAAAACAAAAGGGAGCTCACGTCAATAGATATAAACAATTCACCAAAGTTTCATGCATATTGGTTAAAGCTTTTTTGAGTTAATGTCCGACATGTTGACGACGGACAGACAGACAGTCAACGGTATACCATAACACGTAACGTAAACGGGCGTATAAAAAATGGTCCAAGTCCAATAACTCTTGAAAACTTGTCAAATCAAACTGATGGTATTATTTGGTCAAGGATATATGATGACAAATAGTTCTACCAAGTATGCAAGTTTTCTTTCAAATGGTCTCTGAGTATTGATGCGTTTCAGACAGATGGACAGACAATGACTATCTAATCGAAAAAAAACAGTGTGTAAAAATTTCATAACTATCCAAAAATTCAAACTGAAATCATCACATGACATGCTTTAAAATTTGGAAAATTAAGTGAAATTTTTTTAAAATATTTAATTGATTGTAAAAAAAATGGCATTCAATCTAGGCAAGACAAATGAGAACATTGTTAACATTTTTCAACTATTTAAAATAAACATTCAAATCTGATATTAAATATCATTACCATTGGCCCAAGTTCCTAAAAAGAAGCCTGCCAATGCAGTATGGAGATTTTTAACACTGGTTTCTTCTGTACAGTATCTATCCTTTGCTGCCTCAATGAACTGTCTATGGTACCAGTAGATAACAGTAGCACCATCTGCTCCTCTCTCAACTGAAATAAAAGAGACATAAAATAATAAAATAGAAGACTGTACCCGGTATATTCAATATTGTAATTATCAGTTTATAGATTACTGTACCTAGTTGCATTTCAAAAAAAAATTTGTAAAGGGGTCTGCATTTCTCACCTGCAATTGCTGCTGTCAGTGTAACAGTGTAATGTTGACTGTAAAAAGTGAGTCCATTTATAAGTAAAATACAGAAAATTGAAAATTAATATTTCTGTTGGTCATAAACAAGTCGTCCAAATTTCATAAAATTCCTTGTAGGTTGACAAGGAAGCGCTGTTCCTTTGCTTTTTGTATGTTTTTTTGTTGTGCATTTACTGATTTTCTGTCATGGATGGATACCCCATATCCTTTGTTTTTCTATTAAAGTTATAGAGGTTTAATATATTTTAATCACAAACTGAATCTAAATGTTGCTAATGCTGACAGAATCTAGGATCCCTTTCTCGCTGTTGCAACATAATTGTTGCAAGCTACAGGGTTTAAGCTAGGATTTTGAGGGCTTCAGTCACTTTTGCGTGAGATGAAAAAAGGCAGGAAATTATCATTTTTTTATTTCAATTTGCTTAGTAAGAACTAGATTTGTCTCTCTCATTTATTTTGGCACTAAATTTATTTCGTATTTTACGTTTAAGTGTCTATAAATTCATAGGAATACTTTCACGCATGCGCAGTATATCGTAAAGTAAGCACCTGTTTGACTCGTTGATGATGATGGAAGTTTTTGACGTAAAAACATTTCTGAACGTTTTGAATAAATTTCTATCTTCTTAATCGAAATTGAACGTTTTCTATCAAAGATGACGAAACTACGACAAACGAACTACAAGTTATGATCGTTTTAGAAATATTTAAATTAAAAAGCGAACTGTCCCGGGGAAAACAATTTTGTTCAAATGACGAAACTAAGACAAGCGAACTGCAAATTGTGGTCGTTGGCCTTGAGAAATATTGAAATTAAAATGCAGACTGACTAATTTTATTGGGGAAAATAATTTATTCCCGATTGTCCCACTTTTTAAAATTTAAGAGTTCTGATTGTCCCACATGAAAAGTGATATATTATTTTATGATGTAAAATGTTCTTAAACAAACAAGGTAGTTGTTGTTTGTTTTGCTAAACTAACAAGAATTAATTATTGCATATTCAAATTATTATTTTACATCATTTCTATATCTGTATAAAATATGATTTTTTTTTAAATCGTCTGATTAATGCACTTTTGATTAAATAGTATAAAATTTCTGAGTTCTCAAATATATCTATAATGTTACATTTATTTATAAACAAAAAATACCAGTACTATAATTTTTGGAAAATGACGCTATCAGCGGCATGTTTCCGATACCATTGACCAGAACTTACGGAAGTCGATTATTGCCTCCGCCTACCGCAGTCGGTTTCATATTTACTATTTTACATACTAACTGGAATCTGCTTGTATTACGCTACACTCAAACAAAGTGTTGTAGTCGGACGGGAACCAGTTTACATACTTTATTTTATTTACCAAAAAGATATCTTGACCTGTCCATATGTATTTTGTTATTAAATGGTATTTGGAGCTATCCCTTTGTTATATTTTTCATATTTATTCGAGCTTTCACTTTTATGCACATGTCTTACAATCGTAAACAATCGGTATGTATACATGATAAATAGATCCGTTTTGTTATGGTGTTGGACTTTTTACCCTCCAATGATCAGCAATCGCTAGACAAAATAGTTCTCCTAAATAATGTCAGCCTTTCATGCCATTTCAACTTTACAATCATTAAAAAAAGTGAAAATCGGAATCATTTTGATATCCATTGGATAGAAACTGGTCTTTATCCAGATTTACGAAGATTTTAAAAATCGGAAATTAGTTATACGGTTATACCCACGCGGTGCGTATGAATCTTTGTTTACAAACAGGATATGGGAACGTCTCTAGTTTTTAGATCGTAAGTCACGATAAACTGAAACTGAAAGTAAACAGTTGTTTGTAAGACGCAGGTTTACTCACCATAAACAAGCTGAAACGTTCAGTATGGCATATATTTTAGGTTAAAGACGGTCCCATTCATTTAAAAAGCATTTTGAAAGTAGACGATGGGATTATTTCAGGTTTGGGGAACGAGTAAATTATCACAAAGTTCATTTCTTGACGACCTCATAATTTCATCATGTAGATGGTACAAATCGATTTTTACTGTTTACTGTTGCTTCTCATGTTTTGTATTTAAACAGTCGTTTATTTTTAAACCCGAACCAGGCATATGCATTCTATAATTGTGCAAATCTTCTTTCTTTGGTCAATTGGCTTATGGATAGTTGTATCAATTTCAACTCTTACATTATTTTTTTTAAAAATATATTTGCATTACACATGCAATGGCAGTACCTTTCCAATTACTATTTATGTGTTGTGTCTAAATTAAAGTTGTAACACTTTATAGTGACTGGAAAGGGTAGAAAAATTCATCAGATGAGAAAAGGCTGAAGATACTTCAAACGGCACCTAATCATTAGATATTGCATCTTATAAAAAGAAACTGAGATTTGGATAGTTCCACTTCAAGGTAAAAATGTTTATCTCTTGTGAAATGAAATAAAAAAAATATTGTAACACTGTAGTTAATTAATAAAGATACTATTACGTGTATTTCTGTATTGGCCTTATTATTGGTTCTCGGCCAGCAGTCAAACCGCACCGAATCATTAGATATTGCATCTTATAGAAGGAAACTGAGATTTGGATAGTTCCACTTCAAGGTAAAAATGTTTATCTCTTGTGAAATGAAATAAAAAAAATATTGTAACACTGTAGTTAATTAATAAAGATACTATTACGTGTATTTCTGTATTGGCCTTATTATTGGTCCTTGGCCAGCAGTATTGGCCTTCCACTTCGCCTCAGACCAATACACCCAAGACATGGACCAATAACAAGGCCAATACAGAAATACTTACGCAATGATATTATAGAATGACAATATGGTTCAATAGCGGGAATCAGCCCCTAAACTACTTTTTACATAAATATTAACTTCTGGCTTCAACCCTTTGTTCGTCTTGTCTGGAGATCTTGCTGTAGTTCCAGTTCAGCAAGCATTTTAGAGACGTATCCCATCCATCCTCTTTTGATTTGTAATCTCTGGTGATAGATTTTGCCGCTTGACATTGTATCCTTTCAAGCTTTTTTTTTTGTTACCATGTAGGGGTCCCATACTATGGCTCAATATTAAATTATAAGATCCATTCCTAACGATCTAGATCATTGTTCTAATCTGACACAAATTTCAATAACTGGAATGCTACCCAAGTTGAATATATGGTGACCCACCAGAACAGCATTATCACTATTGAAATTGTGTTTAATACCATGATTGTTCAATGTCATTAACTTAAATGGAGACAGACATTTGACCTGAAAGACATGAAAGGTGGTGTGGGAGTGCAAAATCAAAAACTAACTAACTATGATATATGGTTAAAGAATGAATATCAATTACATGGGTCAACATAGTCAAAGGCAGAGTTGTTATAAAATTACAATATGGCAGAGAAGTGGTTTCAAGTTTCATATAAAGCGACCTGACTGACATGAAATAAAAATTCGAAGGAGTATCCCTATTTGTCTAATCTTCAAGGTGAAATAAAACTAGTAAAACATTATTATACTATTGTCTAAATATACAGAAATATAATTTGCTTCAAGTAACAGAAATAACTAGGTCACTAGTAACTTATTTAATGAGTATGTGGGGTATAAGAGCTTGCTAACAACAGGCTCTTCATAATCATTTGGTTTGAAAAGGATACTAGTAGTCTATATTCTTGATTTAGAAAAATGTAATTGCAAGAAAAAAATCACATTACTTAGAATACTTTAGATCATTCAGGTAGTCTTTATTTATATGTACAATAGAACAGCCAGTAGTCATTGGATATTGTAGATCATTCCGGTAGTCTTGACCTATTTATTTATACAAAAAAACAGCCAGTAGTAATTGGATACTGTAGATCATTCAGGTAGTCTTGACCTATTCATTTGTACTGAAAAAACAGACACATATACGAATATCAATTATATGCTTACGAGGCATGTTGCAATGTTAAACTTATTACAGTATGTGAAAATCAAGACTTGCATAAAAAATATCACAATATTAGAGACAGTGGCGTCATTTTTCCTCAGAGCTTTCAGCTCTTTGATTAATCACATTTTTTTTTAAAAGTTTTTCAAAAAAATTTTGAAATAATGCATGCAATTTTAAAAAAAAGTCTTTACACTACTGAAGACTGCTTGCATCCAACGTCAGATTAACCTAAACCAAACAACTTTCTTCATTGATTACGATGTTGCTGTTCAGAATTCTGCTACAGCATCCTTTCCGGGAATCACTATTTTAGGATTTGTTTTCACTATACTCAGTATATTTGGAGTATAGTGCCGTCAACAGGACTTGTCGCCAAATATAAAGGAGAACTAGACATTTATTAACTTATACCTAGGGCAGCAGTTTTTCCTCTGGTACCACAGGCAGAAATATAAGACGTCTGGTTCCATGCACTTGAAGACCTGGATTATTCGGACTCAACAGCAAATACCACTTCGTTTACGGACTACGTCTTAACATACTGGATTGAAAACAACAGGCATCTATGGAACCATTACCAAACAGAAGAACCAAGGACGACAAACCACCTCGAAGGATGGCACAGCAGTTTGAAGAATATGATCAAAGTACCACACACAAACATATATACAAGCTACTGAACTATACCTTATAGAAGAGCAGGCAGCAAACGAAGTGACCATCATCCAGTACCAAACCGGGTTATTACGAACAACAAATAGAAGAAAATACACAGGATGTATAGGTACCCTGCCACGTCCACCATGTGCTTTTTTGTTATATGTATTTCTGTTTGTATCCATCTGAGTTCAACTGATTTTTATAGTTTGTTCTTATGTTGTTCTGTTACACCACTGTCCCAGGTTAGGCGAGGGTTGGACGTCCGCTAACATGTTTAACCCCGCCACTTTCTGAACGTGCCTGTCCCAAGTCAGGAACCTGTAATTCAGTGGTTGTTTTTTCGTTTGTTTATTGTTTTGTACAGTTTGTTCTTGTGTTGTGTTGTTGCACAACTGTCCCAGGTTAGGGGAGGGTTGGGCGCCCGCCAAGCATGTTCAACCCCGCCACATTCTGTATGTGCCTGTCCCAAGTCAGGAGCCTGTAATTCAGTGATTGTCGTTTGTTTGTGTGTATCATATTTGTTTTTCGTTCATTATTTTGTAAATAAATTAGGCCGTTAGTTTTCCCGTTTGAATTGTTTTACATTTGTCATTTCGGGGCCTTTTATAGCTGACAATGCGGTATGGGTTTTGCTCATTGTTGAAGGCCGTATGGTGACCTATAGTTGTTAATTTCTGTGTCATTTGGTCTCTTGTGGAGAGTTGTCTCGTTGGCAATTATACCACATCTTCCTTTTTTTTTATACACAACTCAAACAACGCCTACGGGAACCCAAAGATTATCTTCAGAATGGTGAAGTTACTACTGTATGCTAACATTGCCTGTTATTTGTTACACTTGGACTAAATTTGTTGCAAATTGTAGTACTTATGTATTATATGTACTATATAATTGTTATACATTCTTTGTTGTATGCATTATATATCTGCTCTCCTTGTCATATGTGTGCTTTAATGAATGAATGAATCAATCAATCAATCAATCAATCTATCAATCAACCAACCAACCAACCAATCAATCATGTTTCGGAGGGGAAAGACCGTTAACAATTGTTTTTAAAACAATTGATTTATATTTGTAACTCTTTTTATTATATATATTTATACAGAATTGAGAAGTGCTTGATATGTGCTATTTTATGGCTTAATATCATATTCTATGTTTGATGATACCTCAGTTGTACCTAATATGTGCAAAATAAAAAATATGTCAATATTATAATTTGTTCATGTTTATTTCATATTTTATAGTAACATTGATTAGTTACCTGTAATTACCTGCTACACACTATAAAACAAATTAATCACTATCAAAACAATTCCCGATTGTCCCACATTTAAACTTCCCAATTGTCTCACTAACATCTTCCCGATTGTCCCACAAAATTTCATTACTTTTTTACCTGTAATTTCAAAAAGTGGGACAATTGGGAAGACACCAACCGGATTAGTGACCCATCCGATGGCAATAAGGGGATTAGCTGTAATCACAACTTTATAACACCTGTTGTAAATGTTAATTAGCTGAGGGTCATAAACTTGTCAGAAACATGTAGACAGGTAGAATTATAGTATTTTCATGCGAAAATTTTTTGACACTTTCCAAATTTAAGTGACGAAATTGATTTGAAATTCTTTCGTCATTTTGAAAACAGTTTCGTAAATTACGAAAGTGACGAGCGCTAGCAAAATCAGTGAAGCTAGACAAAAAGGTAGTGATGTCTTTTTCCATGAGCTTGTCTTATGGAGTTGCTTTGTCCGTCTCTGGTCCATTTTTTACCATTGACAGGTCAACATCAGGTAATAGGAAAATGTGCTTTTTCAAAACATAAGTAAAAGTTTTTTTTGACAGTGTATTTTGCATTGATAGGGAGACAAAGCAGATATTAGTACGTTTATGTTTGACAATTTAAATGATGCACTGTCAAATGTGACAGGTTATGTCAAAACATCAAATTTATATCAAGTTTAAAGTTTAATATGGTTTTAATGTCAATCATTGTTATGATGCCTAAATAATTACCATGATTGACTTTTGTTACTAAGTCTTAAGGTATTAAAATCGGGATAAGAAAGAAAACTACAGCTGGCTCAAATATTTTTTGGAAGCCGTGCCTAATTCCACAGGTAAGGAATCAATACTATACTATTATTTTTTATGTAATTGTGTTATTTCAGCATAATGTGTTTTTTCTCCAATGCAAATTCTGAAAGAAAACTATTACACGAACCTAAATACTGCTGTAGATCATGTCGAAGTCGCACCAGAAGTAATGGAGGAAGCCTCCTAATGGGTGGTGTCCAATACACATAGACATCATTTAGCACATCATCATCACATGCCAATATATCTTCTAATTCTGTTTCTGTCAATCCTATTTTTGCTGTAAAATTAATATGCAGATGATTAGATTATTTAAAGATTTTGAAATGAAGTTTCTTTTTCTAGGATACTGGGGCATAGATACAAATAAAATAACGAATTAATAGAATTAAAACATGTTTCCTGAATAAAGTTCAATTTTCACTCATACTAATTTTTAATACATTCTCAAAACATTACCTGCAGTTAAATATCCTAAAGTTTTAGATACAAATGCATATCCGTGAAGTGACTCCATTTTGGCAAAGAGACCATTTATGGCTTCCCGTACAGTCTGAAACAGCTGAATGTTTGAAACATCCATATATGATGTCCACTGAGAAGCTTCTCTGAAACAAAGATTCAAGTAAAGTGGAAAAGGACACTGATCATATGATTTCAAAAGTAAATCTTCCTGTTCTGGTGTCAATTTTCGCTGAATTCTTTCCAACCAGTGATTCAAAATTAATTTCACATCAGGCCTTGGGATAGTTGTCACAGGAATAAAGCCTTCAGCTGGAACTCGATTCTGAAAAAGAAACTACATGCTGTATAATTTGTTCATACTCTATAATTTTGGTTGTATGGTTCAATATTCTTACACTTATAATCTTTAAACTGACATCACAAGAGTCAACTACTGCAATATTTGTATGGCACTTAAGGATGTTCGCTTCTCTGCTTCAAAATTCAAAAGACTTGGGCATCATACATATTGTCTAATTTTACAGTCATTTACCATTGCCTTTAACAGAAAGACTGTTATAAATTGAAAGTAAATGAATAAAGGGGTTAACAGGTAAAATATTTATTGGCATTACAGGGATAAAACTAGAGGATTCAGAATATCTGACAAAAAAATCAAAGAGGGGCGAACATGATCTTCAACAAAATCATATATAATTTTTTTGCACTGATTTATACTGTTACTTTTAAATATAAAATATCCATTTTTGTTGCAAATATATGGAATGGTACATTATTGATAAATGTATTTGTAATAGGCATTTTGTAAAACGAGTTGGTTGACTGTTATGGAATATCTGTATCACAGATAATCAGGGATATGTTTCATTCTATGAAATAACTTAAGGCATTGGTAGCATGACTTTAAATTTTTTTAGGCATTTGTAAATGACTGTAAAATTAGTCAACATACATGTATATGATGCCCAAGTCTGACACTGGCATTTAAAAACTAGAGGCTCTAAAGAGCCTGTGTCGCTCACCTTGGTCTAAGTGCATATTAAACAAAGGACACAGATGGATTCATGACAAAATTGTGTTTTGGTGATGGTGATGTGTTTGTAGATCTTACTTTACTGAACATTCTTTCTCCTTACTATTATCTCTATCTATAATGAACTTGGCCCGGTAGTTACAGTGGAAAATATATTGTAAAAATTTACAAAAATTTACAAAATTTATGAAAATTGTAAAAAATTGACTATAAAGGGCAATAACTCCTTAAGGGGTCAATTGACAATTTTGGTCATGTTTGACTTATTTGTAGATCTAACTTTGCTGTACATTATTGCTGTTTACAGTTTATCTCTATCTATAATAATATTCAAGATAATAACCAAAAACGGCAAAATTTTCTTAAAATTACCAATTCAGGGGCAGCAACCCAACAACGTGTTGCCTGATTGGTCTGAAAATTTCAGGGCAAATAGATCTTGACCTAATGAACAATTTTATCCTCATCAGATTTGCTCTAAATGCTTTGGTTTCAGAAATATGAGCCAAAAACTGCATTTTACCCTATGTATTATTTTTTACCCATGTCGGCCATCTTGGTTCGCGGGCAGGGTCACATTTTTTAAACTAGATACCCTAATGACGATTGGGGACAAGTTTGGTTAAATTTGTCTTAGTAGTTTCAGAGGAGAAGATTTTTGTAAAGGATTACAAAAATTTACGAAAAATGGCTAAAAACTGACTATAAAGGGCAATAACTCCTTAAGGGGTCAACTGACCATTTTGGTCAACTGACCATTTTGGTCAAGTTGACTTATTTGTAGATCTTACTTTGCTGAACATTATTGCTGTTTACAGTTTATCTCTATCTATAATAATATTCAAGATAATAACCAAAAACGGCAAAATTTCCTTAAAATTACCAATTCAGGGGCAGCAACCCAACAACGGGTTGTCCGATTCATCTGAAAATTTCAGGGCAGATAGATCTTGACCTAATAAACAATTTTACCCCATGTCAGATTTGCTCTAAATGCTTTGGTTTCAGAGATATAAGCCAAATTCTACATTTTACCCCTATGTTCTATTTTTAGCCATGGCGGCCATCTTGGTTGGTTGGCCGGGTCACCGGACACATTTTTTAAACTAGATACCCCAATGATGATTGTGGCCAAGTTTGGTCAAATTTGGCCCAGTAGTTTCAGAGGAGAAGATTTTTGTAAAAGTTTACGGACGACGGACGACGGACGACGGACGACGGACGCAGGACGACGGACGCAAAGTGATGAGAAAAGCTCACTTGACCTTTCAGGTCAGGTGAGCTAAAAAGTTAGGCTGTTTGTTCTTTCTTTTGAATTTTATTTCACATTTAGATATCCTGCCACATTTTATTTCTTACCAGCAGTATGGGTTTTACTCATTGTTGCAGGCTTTGTATGGTGAAATGTTGTTGTTAACATACCTTTTCTTTCTTCTGTGGATGACATTTGTCTCATTGACAATCATACTCATTGTTGAATGCCATGTTGTAATAATTTAACATCCATGTCCTTATTCTTTGGTTTATAGTTGTCTTATTGTCCATCATATCACATCTTCTATTTATATATAATTTAATTTTGGATGAAACACTTGTTCTGATTGGATGAAAGTTTTTTTGTCTTTCAGCTCATGGACATAATTTTGTCATGTGACAGTGATGTCATCAATGTTTTTTCATGAATTACTCTTTAAAAAATAGTATTTAGAATTAAATTATAAGGAATGACTGTAATATTTTTTCTGTCTATTTGTAATAACCTCAAAAATGTGGTGCACACTTTTAAATAACCCACTATGCTGGTAATTTAGTATACACCACATTTTTGATGTTATTTCTTAATAGACAGAAAAAATATTACAGTCATTCCTTATATAAATTTCCCAGTAAAACCTGATAAGATTCCTTACATACCTTGAGACTAGGAAATACTTCATACTTTGGATCTTCTAAGGTTGACACTATAATCTTTACATTAGGATTTACTAGAAGTGGTAGCCATTGCATCCCTCTAGCATTGTATGAAGGATCTAACTGGTCAAGAGAATCCAGTATGATGACTAAAGGATCATTGATTTTCATTTTTTCAGATCCTTTCCTTGCTATTAAGGTCTGTTTGAAAATAAGCTCAACTTCTGTGAAGCTCTGGTAAATATAAAAGAAATGCAAACATTTAAACTTCATTTACATTATTATTATTTGATTGATTTTAACAGTGGATTCATTATTATTCATGAGGAACCAATTTTTGTGGATTTCGTGGGTATAGGTGATCGACACATTTAAGTGTTTTTGCCTAATCCATGAAATTTGGTATGCAGGAAAATAAAAGTGTAAGGTAGAGAACTTTCAATTTTTAAAGCGATCACATTGACGGTACATGTCTGACAAGTAAGAATAATGGTGGAACCGAAATGCAAATCGAAAGCATGAATAAATGACAAAACTATGACCCTTAGTGTCAAAATTAATACATAATTAAGATTTTGCATCCTTGTTAAAAGACTTGCCTTTGGAACAAGATTTCATGTACCCAGTACTTATATTTCCTGATTTTATGGGTCCCTCCATCCACAAAGTTTAATACTTACAGAAATACTATTTTCCTTGGGATCTGAACGTAATAATCTTCAAGCAACGAATGTAAAATCCCAGGAACCAACTATGTTTTCACATACCATGAAAATTGACTCATGCCTCATTTTAATCTTGGAAAACATGGTATATTTATTAGTTGAAATTGGCTTTGAACTAGCTTGCAGTATCTGTGAATGCGTAATTCTTGATCGTAATTTTTTGTTGTTGTTGTGCTTTATGCCAATCTGATGAGTCCCTTTTCAATTGATTTTTAGTTTGTTTTTATATTGTGCTTTTCTGAGGCTAAGGGATGGTTGAGCAGTCTCAAAATCATGTTAAACCCTGTCACATTCTTAATGTGGCTGTCCCAAGTCAAGATCCTGTAATTCAGTGGTTGACCTTAGTTGAAGTCTGCCTTAATTGTATTTTTGTTTTTGTTTATTGTTTTAAGCATAAATCAGGCTGTTTGTTTTTTTCATCTTAATTGTTTCACATTTTGTGACGCCAGGGCCTACTTTATAGCTTACTATATGGTATGGGTTTTGAGCATTGATGTAGGCCAAACATTATCCTATAGTTGGTAACATCCTTGTTCTTAGGGCTCTGAAGGATAGTAATTCAATTACTAATCATATCAAATGGCCCTTATTTTGATCAAGAAGAATAGTAATTCCACAGTACATCAATCCAGATTCAATACATTTTTTATTTTCTAGTCAATTTTTATACATCAAATTTAGTATTTATAGCAATTTTCACATAGAATCCTTTACCCTAAAATTTGACTAATTGTACTTAAAAAAATTATAACAAAATGATTTTGCTTTTCTAAAAACACAGTGATCACATGACTTTTACAAAACATGTCTACCATATGGCCCAAGAACACAGTTATTTCGTAGTGCATTTCTTCTAGACAATGAATGAAAATAAATAAATGGAGAATGTGTCCCCATGGACACAGATGATGGCCCCGCTTGCATACAACATTATAAAGGGACATAACTCAAGAACAATAAAAGTGACACTCCCCAAATTTGTACTTGATCTGAGTTTTGTGGTAATAAGTATTGTGTAAAGGTTTCATAAAGTTTGGTTGGGGCAAACTTAAGTTACAGAACGGAAACTAAAAATTTGGCAATTTTGATTTATGAAGGGGCATAACTAGATAATGATTACAGTGACACCACCAAAATTCAACTTGATCTGTGTTTTGTGGTAAAAAGCATTGAGTATAAGTTTCATAACATTTGGTTGAGGCAACTTAAGTTAGAGAACGGAAACTAAAAATTTTGCATTTTTTTCCATTTAAGAAGGGGCATAACTCGAGAATGGTTAAAGTGACCCCATCAAAATTCAAACTTGATCTGTGTTTTGTGGTAATAAGCATTGTGTATAAGTTTCATAACATTTGGTTGAGGCAAACTTAAGTTAGAGAAAGGAAACTAAAAATTTTGTAATTTTTTCATTTATAAAGGGCATAACTCTAGAACAGTTAGAGTGACGCTACCAAAATTCAAATTTGATCTGTATTTTGTGGTAATAAGCATTGTGTATAAATTTCATAACATTTGGTTGAGGCAAACCCAAGTTAGAGAACGGAAACCAATTTTGAGATGTACTTATGTACAGATTGACAAGGGTAAAACTTAAAGCCCCCTCTGCTACAGCGGGGGCATAAAAAAATCCCTCCTGTGCTTTCTCAATAATATTTTTACAGTGTGGTGTACTACTTTTGGGACAAATTATATCAAAATTATAGAAAACTTCATCAGCTCTAACTCAAAATATGGACAATTTTATGTTATAGGGTCTTGAATTCTTTTGAAAGCTTCAGACATACTAATTTTTAACTTTTTTCAGCTGGACCAAATCACTACTTTACTTTAAAATTCATGACCCAAATTTTTTTACAGTGTAATTTCATCCCCCTTCTTGCTATTTGAGGCATTAAACATGAAGAAATAAATTTGGAAGGGGTATGAAAAAAATTGCAACTAATACACTGTTCACAGTAGGGACTAGATTTGTAGACAACGAAAATCAATTGACGATTACTATGTTCTCAGACCTTAATAGGATAGAAAGATTTAACCAATCTTAATAAAACTTGGTACGACTAAAGCTTAACAAATTATAAGACTGTTGACCAAGTTTCATGACAACAGAATATATATTATAGACAATATAACTATTTTTATATTCAACTTAAAATTTTGACGTTAAAATTGAAGAATTTCAAATACATGTATCAACATTTGGGGCTTTAAAAATCTAAATATTGTGACAAATTACTTTTTAGATGCCCTAATATTACATATAAGATGTATTAAAAGCAATAGAATACTCATTTGATGTATCAGATTTATTACAATTTTTCAAAAGTCAAATTTTTAAGAACTTGTGCCTGAAAATAGAGGTTTTCGAATGAAGGGGGGCCTTACATAGAAGATGTAATATTTTCCAGCAATTTAAAATTTGTGAAGTTTTTTTGTTATAAATAATCCTTCCATATGTATTTTATGTACTTTAAATGGAAAGAAAAACTACAAATAGCCTATGATACGAGTATAAACTGGTCTTAGGCAAAGCAAGACTGAAAATAATTTAGGGTCAATTTAGGCCGTAGCAAATGTTTACATGTAACAATGCATACTAAAGCTATAGGAAATAGAAATTTGTTTCTTTTTGCTCATTTCTATGCTCAGGTGACATGATACAAGAAGTCTGAGTACAAAAGGACTCTTGCATTCAACTTTTTTCGCACACAGTATGATCTGATACAAAGTTTTTTTCACTTTTCAGTGAGAAACTTGCATGTAATTTTAGTCTCAACAGGCATACATTTAACTACTTACTATCCTACAGTAGAAAAGAAAGACAGTATGTAAAATGAAACAGGTACAAAAGACATTGCAAAGTGCTTTTTATACAAATTTAGTGAAATCTTTGTGATGGACTTCACATTTTATGTACAAAGCTCCTCACATTTTGCTTAATCTTACTTCAAACAGGCCGTTAAACGAGGACCATTCATACAACACGTTTTGCACATTTTTTCTGTGATAATCTACTTTTCTCAAGATTCAGAGTTCACAAATTAATAATACAACTTGATAAAAGCCTAGAAACACAACTATTGACACATGAAAACCTGCAAGATAGAAAGTCAGAATACCACTCATGCATAAATATGGAAATGGCTTTGAAATGCTTATTTTGACCATATAATGACCAAATGGGACATTTTGGCAGAATTTCTATCAAATAAAAGTTTAAATCCTTAACTTTCATGCAGTTTGACAAATTGACACCATTAAATCATTCAGGGAAGTTGCCAAAGTACAGATTCTATATTTACTGATTTCATCTCAATACTATTAAAAAAGAAGAAATAAATTTGGAAGGGGTATGAAAAAAATTGCAACTAATACACTGTTCACAGTAGGGACTATATTTGTAGACAACGAAAATCAAAAGACGATAACTGTGTTCTTGGACCTATGATGATTGTCTGAAAACATATTCATACATTGAGACTGTTGATCATTGAATATTAATTCATATTCTCAAAATTAGTGTGTGCATTAGACTGAACAAATACAAGCTTTTAAGGCACCACCATGTGGTCCCGATATCCTTTCTATTGAAAATATTTATTATTTGTCCATTTAACAGGCTTTATCTGACCATGACTACTTAGTCATGCTTAACTGGTCAGGTCAGTTACTCAAATACTATAAGAAATGGGTCAACTGTATTTAAGTGTAAAGAATGACTGTAAGGTTACTTTGACAAGGTTGAGCTGATCTTCACCTTATTTTAAAGGTTCCTTGGTAAAAGTTACAATTTTTTTATTAGGTCTGTTTCTCCAATACATGTACTAGGAGTAAAAGGTTAATCATATTCAGTGTATAGTATGATTGTAAGGTCTACATGTCATCTGACAGTGTTTATCTGACCTTGACTTCACCTTTACGTTTCATTGGTCAATATTACAAATGACACATTAAAGGGAAAATTCGCGATTTTTTACTTATCATCTTATTATGTTCATAATACCATAAAAAACATATTCACCAAGTTTTATCTGGATATGAACACTAATAAAGAAGAAAATTTGGGAATTATTAATTTTATTTATTCGAACTTCCTGACTTCTGTGACGTAGTTTAAGTCTTTTTGCATGCCGGGAGTGGATTAATCTCATTTTAAGTCTTGTTCGTTAATCATCTTATAACGCGATTTAAAGCGCATCGACGACTTTTGGCGTAGCTATTAACCAACTAATAATTCAGGAAGAAAAGTGATCAGCCGTGCAACTTTTAAAATTAAAATGCACCTTTTATATTTTAAGGATTTCTGATATGATTATAGTAATAAAAGTAAATCAGACAATAGAATGTTGTTATGATTTTTTTTCCGACGGATATGTTGAACAAACAAATATAACTGATAGTGTAATAAAAATGCATGTTTGTATTCTCACCTATCACTTCAGTCGACCGGGATTTGTCTTACTATACAAATCCTTGCTTCAGTCTAGTACTGTGTAAATACAATGCATG